ACATCTGTGATTACAACTGTCTGCATCTGGGTCTTATCCTGAGTTCTGATAGTACGAACTGACCATGACTGACCCAGCAGACTCGGACAAGCTCCGCAACGCCGTCTCCTCCCAAGGAGCCACCATTGGGAGGCACGAGGAGTTACTTTGAGGTCTTATGAAAGGATTCCAGACCTTGGCGGAACGCCATTACCGTGCCTTGACTACATTGCTGGAGCAATTTCGCAGATTATCTGTTCGACAACCGGCCATGACAGTAACCTCTCAGCCCCTCAGTAACCCCGCTGTCATCAGCGCATCTCTCCAGGCCACCCCGGCTTCCCGAGAACTCCTACGGAATGCTTCGCTGGAGAGTCAGGAACCTGTTGGCCGTCTCCCAGTGTTCCATAATCTTCGAGCTGCAGCCCTTCCCCTCGGACCGCTTGAAGATAGCGTACCTCATAATGCTGATGTCCGGGAGGGCTCTCACCTGGGCTACTGCGGTGTGTGAACAACAATCTGCCGTGTACTTCAGTCTGGAGGAGTTTGTGGCTGAGGTGAAAAAGGTTTTTGATTCTCCGTTGTCCTGGAGAGAGGCTGCCTGGAAGTTACTCCAGCTTCGTCAAGACTCCCGCAGTGTGGCAGACTATGCGGTTGATTTCCGCACGTTGGCTGCCGAGAGTGCCTGGAACCCGGAATCCCTGTTCGACACGTTCCTTCATGGATTATCGGAGGAGGCTAAAGACGAGCTCGCAGCCCAGGAGCTGCCTACGGATCTCGACTCGGTCATCGCCTTGACCATCCGGATCGATGGGTGGCTACGGGAATGTAGGAGGGAGAGGAGGTCTGATTCCGGTCCCACTCGCTCGCCCAATGATCCCACCTCGCCTCCGAGGAATCCCGGAAGTCCCCGGCATCTACGTTCCCGAGAGAATCCGAGGTTACCCGAGTTCTCCCGAGAGTCTCCGAGGTCTGCCGACTCGCCTCTTCCAGAGCCGATGCAACTCGGCAGAGCCAGGCTGTCTCCAGCCAAACTTCTATATTGCGGGACTACCTATCATTACGTGTCTACCTGTCCATTAAAAGACCAGAGTACTCTGGTGGGCCATACAGAGAATTTTCCTTCTCCCCTTACTCGCACCCCTCTCCATGCCCTCCTGCTGTGGGGCGACCATTCAAAATCTCTCCAGGTTCTCATTGACTCTGGGGCCGATGAGAGTTTCATGGACGCTACCCTGGTGTCAGAGCTGGGCATCCCCACTCAGCCCCGCTCCATTCCCATGGACGTCAAGTCTCCTTAGGTTCCCGTGGTATTGGGGTTTTCTTGGCTCCAGCGACACAATCCTCTTATCAACTGGACTGCTGGTGCTATCCTGGGCTGGAGCCCATTCTGCCACGGCCATTGGCTGAAGTCGGCGCAGCCTGCCCCGGGACATCTTCCTGTGGGCTCGGAAGAAGCCTCGGACCTCTCCGCATTCCCGCGGAGTACCAGGACCTCCGGGAGGTTTTCAGCAAGGCCCGGGCCACTTCGCTTCCTCCGCATCGACCCTATGACTGCGGGATCGACCTTCTCCCGGGCACTACACCACCCCGGGGACGGCTATATTCACTGTTGGAGACCAAGGCTATGGAGACATACATTGAGGACTCCCTGGCTGCAGGCTGCAGGGTGTATCCGCCCTTCTGCCTCCCCCGCCGGCGCAGGGTTCTACTTTGTGGAGAAGAGGGACAAAACCCTGCGCCCGTGCATCGACTACCGGGGCCTCAATGACATCACAGTTAAGAACTGCTACCCGCTACCACTCATCTCCAGGGGGCCACTATTTTCTCTAAGTTGGACCTGCGGGTAGGTGATGAGTGGAAGACAGCCTTCAACACTGGTAGCGGACACTATGAATACCTGGTGATGCCATTTGGTCTGACCAACACTCCTGCTGTGTTCCAGGCCCTGGTCAACAACGTTCTCCGCGACATATTGAACATCCTCGTCTTTTCCCGCTCAGCTCAAGAACACGTTCTCCACGTCCAACAGGTCCTCCAGCGTCTCCAGGAGAACCAGCTTTTTGTCAAAGCAGAAAAATGCGAATTCCATCGCTCCACCATCTCCTTCCTTGGATACATCATTGCTGCTAGTAATGTGCAGATGGATCCCGGAAAGGTTCGCCCCAACCCACGTCCAGAGTGCAGCTGAAACACTTAAGATTTTCCCATTTCTATCACCGTTTTATCCGGGGTTACAGCACCCAGGCTTCCCGCCTTTCAGCACTCACCTCTCCCAAGGTCCCGTTCACGTGGTCCCCAACTGCTGACCGGGCGTTCCTGGACCTTAAGCACCGCTTCACCACAGCTACCATATTAATCCATCCGGACCCATCCCATCAGTTCGTGGTGGAGGTAGACGCTACAGATGTCAGAGTGGGGGCCGTCCTGTCCCAGCATTCTGCCCTGGACCTTAAGCTGCATCCCTGCGCCTTCTTCTCCCATTGTCTTAATGCCACGGAGAGGAATTATGATGTGGGGAATCAAGAACTACTCGCGGTGAAGATGGCATTAGAGGAGTGGAGGCACTGGTTAGAGGGGGCGGAACATCCATTCATTGTGTGGATGGATAACAAGAACCTGGAATATCTCTGCACCGTCAAGCGTCTCAACTCCAGGCAAGCTCGATGGGCCCTGCTGTTCACCCGGTTCAACTTTACCATCTCCTCCCGCCCAGGGTCCAAGAATGTTAAGCCGGATGCGCTTCCATGCCGCTATAGTCCCACTGTTACACCCTCGGACCCAAGACCATCCTTCCTACCTCGTGTCTGGCGGCTCCACTCATCTGGGGAATAGAGAACCAGGTCCGTGAGGCGGAGCGTTCCCAGCCGGACACCGGGGGGGTGGGGGCTCGGCTAATCGGATGTTATTCCCAGATGATGCCCGCTCCCCGGTCCTGGAATGGGCTCATTCTTCCAGGCTTGCCTGCCACCCTGGCTCCCGTTGGACCCTGGCCTTTGTGCGACAATGCTTTTGGTGGCCCACCATGGTCCCTGACGTCTCCGCGTTTGTCACCGCCTGAACTCTGTACTCAGAATAAGACTCCTCGACAAGCTCTGACTGGCCTCGTTCAACCTCTTCCTGTCCCTCACCATCCCTGGTCACATATATCTCTACACTTTGTCACTTTGTCATCTGTCTGATGGCAACACAACTATCCTCATGGTGGTGGACAGGTTTTCCAAAGCCGGCCATTTCATTCCCCTCCCCAAGCTACCCTCTGCCAAGGAGACGGCCTAGCTCATGGTGAAGCACGTCTTTCGGATCCATGGACTTCCGGTGGACATGGTCTCTGACCGTTGTCCTCAGTTCTCGTCCCGGTTCTGGAAGGCGTTCTGCACACTCATTGGGTCGTCGGCAAGCCTGTCCTTCGGGTTTCACCAGTGTAACGGCCAGTCGGAGCGAGCCAATCAGGGCCTGGAGACGACTCTTCGTTGCCTCCGCCAACCCCACCAACTGGAGCCAGCAACTCGTGTAGGTAGAATACACAAGCAACACCCTCCCCTGCTCAGCCACTGGTCTCTCACCTTTCAAGTGTTCGATGGGTTATCAGCCCCCGCTGTTGCCGTACCTGGAAGAGGTTCCGGTCTGCTCTTCTCAAGACCACCTCCAGGTATCGACGACAGGCGGAACGCCACCGGACCCCGGCTCCCCGTTATCGTCTCGGGCAGAGGGTATGGCTGTCCACTCAGAATCTGCCCCTCCGGGTGGAGTCCCACAAACTTTCCCCCTGTTTTATCGGCCCTTTCCCCATCTCTAAGATCCTTAGCCCCTCTGCTGTTCATCTTCTGTTGCCCCGCACCCTCCGTATACATCCCACTTTTAATGTATCAAGGATTAAACCTCTCACAGCCCTCTGTCTCCTGTTTCCATCTGGGTCTTATCCTGAGTTCTGATAAGTACAGTAGGAACTTGGACTAATTGAAAGAGGATCAATATTGTGCAGCAGTGTGTTTGGCCAGATCCCTGGAAAGATTTAGTGTCTCTGGCCTCAGCAGTAACCTTAGATTGAGGCTTTGCAGGCTGGGCGTATGCAGGAAATAATATGCAGATTGCCAACAGCGGTTGAAGGCTGAAGGTAATCAGGTCCATCTGAAGGGGGCTTGGTGATGATGACTGTCCTAGGTCAACAACAAGTCACATTGGTTCTCGCTGTGTTAACCAGGCGGCTGTATGTGTCGGTGGCAGCCAGCTCTTGGCTTTTGGAGGAGCAAAAGGCGTGTTCTCTCTGTGGGGTCTTTGACATATTATATTCTCTTTTTCATGGCCTTGGCTATAGCTCAAACCCAAGGTGTAAGCTGTTGAAGGCTTATTCAAGGACATCCCAAAGAAAAGCTGACAGAGAAGAACTTACCTTTTACAAGTGTTCAGAGTATTCTGTCTCTCAGTCCAAGCACATAGGGTACTGCAAGTGCAGTATATTTTCTCAGAGCACAGACAACATTTAAACTGGAACAATAGTGTGAATTTACAAAACAGCAACCTCTCTGGTATTGACTGGAATCAAACCACATTTTTACCTGCAGAAACTGCACTTGGCTTTTCAGCGCCTCACATTCTTCGGTCAGAACTGATCTGGCAGTGAGGAGAGAACACAACTGTTAGGTTAAACTCTAAAACCATAGCATTTCTTGACCTTTTAAAAATGATAATGAATGCACATTTTAGTAAAACTAATAAACTAAAGAAAAGTGTTAAACAAAAAAGTATTCAAATGTATACATAGCATGATATCAAGGTGCAGCTTTCCAGGAACTTGGCTGCTGGTTTTCATTGAATATGGCCTTGAATCCTAAACAGACAGCCAAATGCACAATAGCATGTACTACATCCATATCTATTATAAGACTTTACTTATGGTATTGAGGGAGCCGTGGCCTATTTCTCTTTCTCGGTTATGTAACTATTGTTGACTTAATTCACTTCTTTCTTTTTTAGAAGTAAAGGAATCTTCTGCATGCTGAGGTCTGGTATTCATTTTCTTACAATGGGGGCTTTTGTTCCGTGCGGGGATGGAGAGAGGAGAGGGCTGGCTGGCCTCCACCCTCCGCCCTCCATCTCCTCTCCCCCAGCTCCCCTCCAAGGCAAGCGCAGTGTTTGCATTCCCCTCCTGGCCTGGTTGGGTAGGGAGCTCCAGATGCCTGGCTCTGGCTGTCACAAGGCCAGGGGGAAAGGGAGAGGGAACCAGGCTGGAAGACACAGGCGGGAGAGAGGAGAGCAAGACAGGAGAACAGGGGAGAGGAGAGGGGAACTATGACCAGGAGAGAGAGGCCATGGATCTTTACACTGTAGATGACAGGACAGGAATACACTATAATGGAGAGAATGAGAACAGAGGAAGGTAGAAAGAGACAAAGCAGGGTGGATGGAAGCTGGCCAGTCCTCCTATCGTTTAGCTACCCCCTTTCTCTTTACTGTAACGCCATGTTTGCACAATGATGAAGACATGTCTGGTCTGTCCAAACAGGCAGATTTAAAGAGGGCCAGAGTGGCAGAAGTCTGAAGAGAAATCTGACTCTGCACAGAGGAATGTGTGAGGAGGAAAAAAGGGTCCCATTCCCCACAGTCCCACAGCTGTATTCATTTCATTACAGCACTTCTCTGACTGTGGCTCACATTTACCCAATGGCTCATGGTCTTTCCTGTCTGGGACTCTTCATGGATACAGACTAAGGTCTTGCAGTCATATATTCTGCCTTGCAGACAGACTATAAGTACTACTGTCTATCACAAAGCTCATTTCAACTGGTTGCATTTTAAAGGACGCATTACCTAAACATTGGTCTGTAATTGACATTTTTGAAATGTTGCTCAGTGACTTACTTGAGGTGGGCCACAACGTCCTCTATGTGGTTGACATTCAGCTTGTGTTTCATGTCATCAATGTCATCTTGGCTGGTAGTAGAGCTGACTGAGCTCCGGGAACAGGACCTGTGGGACCAGAAATGCATGTCTAAGGTGCATCCACATGACAGATAAGTAGAAATACACAATGACAACGTGTGTTTGCAACTGTCCTTTTCCCTCTTGTGTTGTAGCAGTTGTATTACAGTATGTAAATGTATCTTACTCTTGACAGTCAGACTAACCTTTCTGCATGTTGGCTCTGGCTGAATTGTATTCCACTAGGGGTAGGCCTACTATTCACATTGTCACAACGACTGTTATGGACACCCAAGGCGTAATTCACCACACTAGGACTGTACCGGAATATGTCTGCATCTCCATCCCTGAAAATCAATAGATACACACAAATAACCACCAACATAGTGTGAAGGAGTCAGAGAGGAGGTAATAAGATGACAAAGGAAGGATAGGAATAGTGAGGCACCAATTTGGCAACCCCTAGCACCCCAGTTTTGACCCATTGGTGCAACACAAAGTGAGTGTTGTATGTCTGTCAATCCTGACAGGCCGGGCGGACAGCAGGCCTGTCCTGCTTTCTGTAATCCCCTTGTCCTAATCTTAAAACTACCATGCTGAAAAGATTAAAGCAGTGGAGCAGAGAGAGCGAGAGAGATGGGGTGAAGAGATAGAGATATAATATATAATAATATCTATAATATATATATCTATATCTCTATCTCTCATATATCTATATATTATAGAGCAGAGAGAGCGAGCAGAGCGAGAGCGAGCATAGCGAGAGCGATCGGAGAGCAGCTGAGCGACGCGAGCAGCGCGCGCGCGCGCTCTGAGCGCCGCGCGCCGCGCTCTCCTCGCTGAGGAGAGAGAGAGAGAAACAGAGCAAACTAGAATGCTATTTGGCCCTAAACAGAGAGTACACAGTGGCAGAATACCTGACCACTGTGACTGACCCAAACTTAAGGAAAGCTTTGACTATGTACAGACTCAGTGAGCATAGCCTTGCTATTGAGAAAGGCCACCGTAGGCAGACCTGGCTCTCAAGAGAAGACAGGCTATGTGCACACTGCCCACAAAATGAGGTGGAAACTGAGCTGCACTTCCTAACCTCCTGCCAAATGTATGACCATATTAGAGACACATATTTCCCTCAGATTACAGCGATCCACAAAGAATGCAAAAAACAAACCCAATTTTGATAAACTCCCTTATCTACTGGGTGAAAAACCACAGTGTGCCATCACAGCTGCAAGATTTGTGACCTGTTGCCACAAGAAAAGGGCAACCAGTGAAGAACAAACACCATTGTAAATACAACCCCATATTTATGTTTATTTATTTTCCCATTTGTACTTTAACTATTTGCACATTGTTACAACACTGTATATATACATAATATGACATTTGAAATGTCTTTATTCTTTTGAAACTTCTGAGTGTAATGTTTACTGTTAATATTTATTGTTTATTTCACTTTTGTTTACTATCTACTTCACTTGCTTTGGCAATGTTAACACACATTTCCCATGCCAATAAAGCCCTTAAATTGAATTGAGAGAGAGAGAGAGAGAGAGAGATGGGGGGGGGGAGAGATAGAGAGAGAGAGAGAGAGAGAGATACGATAGGACAGAGTAGAGATGAGAGAGAGAGAGAGATGGGGGGGGAGAGAGAGAGAGAGAGAGAGAGGAAATGGGAATGGTACAGCAGCAGCAGCAGCCCTGCAGCCTCCAAGAGTCACCAGCCATGGAGCAAGGCCTGTTGGATGAAGGGTGAGGAGAACACCCCAGCGGTGTCAAAGTGGGGATGTTATGTTACTAGGCTGAGGGATTTCAATCAGGAGGCTGCGCAAAAGTGGAAAGTGGCATTTAGCTGCACCTGCCGAAACTCTTTTGATCTCCTGAAAAAAGGCTGTTGCAGATGCTGGCCAAGGATGCCCAACCTTTTTTTGAAATCACAAAGGGTTGCGTAATTACGGAGAAATACTGCTCAAGTGGAAAACAGGAAGATAGGACTCCCCCATGAACCCCCCAGGACTAAACCCCAAAACCAATGACCGGAAAAGCTTACAAAATGCATCCTCTCTTTTTGGTCAAAGCCAACATCTAGGCTATGGCCTGTTGTGGATAGCTAACGCTGACCCATATATCAGCAAACATTGAAGCTTTGAGCTTTTGAGTCCTACTGTATGCCTGAGTCTTACACCACAGTGCACAACTTCTAGTGAACAAGATTGTGTGGAGGGTGGAGGGTGAGTAGAGGTAAGAATCCCATTTCAGTGGCAGGCTGCTAGTGGAGCTACCGGGTCTAGCTATAATGACAGGAACAGAGGCTACATTGTGAGGCAGTGTAGTACATATCACTAAGTAGCTTACTCCCAGAGAGAGGAGGAGTCCTGATCTCAGCTAACAAAGATGGCATAGATGCCCGCCGCAACATCAACAACCACACCAGACCATTCAAATCCTCCTCCGTCCTGGAAGATTGATAAACTACAAATGTAAAATAAGTTACACCACAACCACAGCCACTTTTAACGTTTCCCACCTTACAGCTCCTCCCGCTCCAATTGTTATGCTAGTTCCGTTCCGAGATTTAGGACCTCCTTGGGCCCGTTTTCAGAAAGCCTATTTATTCAGAGTACTCTTCACTCAATGGGCATTCAGCGTAGCCCCTATTTCTCTCCATAATGGGACAGGTGCAGCTGCACTGAGGACGCCGACCACAAATCTCTAAGACAATGGCATGGAGGGAGGACCACACAAGGGGACAGGTGATCTGAAAAGTTGCCAACCAGCTCCATTAAATCAGTTCACTTTCAAAGCAAGATGAATCATAGCTGCTAAACTCAGACACCCTTGTTCATTAAAGTCCTCAGCTCTAGGGTATTTAGTCAACTCAACAGTTTCCTGCTTTGGGTAGGATCGATTGGTCAAGGATAAAGAGAAAGCTCCAAACCTGGAGCGATATTAAAGGGAAATGATCCAGCAGCTTTGTCCTGAAAGCAGATCAGCTGATTTACAGTGAGGGACTTAATTTTCTAATCAAAGAGAGGGGGATCATGGAGGATATACACACAGACTATATCCCAAAGGGCACCCTATTCCCTACATAGTGCACTACTTTTGACCTGAGCACTATATAGTGAATAGGGTGCCATTTGGGATGCATCCACAAACACAGGGCAGAGGCAGAGACCAACAGGACCAACCAGCAGGCAGCAGCGTGGTTGGCACTTGGCAGGGATTCAAAGCAGAACATAGTGTCAGGGTTAACATGGCACTGATACCTAAAGTCCCAGCATTACCTCGTTGATTTGTCCACAGGACGTCTGGACATACTGACAGGGTTTGTTTGAAGTGGGTTTAAGATGAAATAATTCCTGAATGATACACATTCCTAGACTATTCCTAGTATACCCTTTAATAGTCCTATAGTCTTAGCAAAATCTGATCTGATTTAAAGTAACAATAAAGCTATGAATGACATTATTTGTGAGATAGCCACTGCCAATACATTCTAACTGGTGCATCACATTTATTGGATACAATCTTCAGTGATTTGTGTTTTTCCTGAATGGCAACAAAAACTAAAATTATAGGGGCAGAGTTGAGGGGGAGCTACATTCTTCAGAGCCTCCTCCAGTTGCTGACAGAGAGGCCTCCCCTTCAAATAGGTACCTGTAAATTACTGCCTTTTGTTGGACAAACAGGCTCATCCGGATGCAGGCCTAGTGTTGGGTAGGCAATATTAAAATAGGGCCCCCATTTGGGGGGGTCTGGGTGACTTGTTGCTTTAGGCTAAACAATATAAAACAATACTTTAATGTAGGAGATTATGAAACCTCAATCTGCCTTGTGCTTTGACTATTAGACCCATAACATTTACAGCCATTTTGTAACATTACTATCTTCTTTGATCTAATTATTACCAAACCATTTGTAACTAACTAAAAACACAGTAAGCATTTAAAGTTATCATTGTTGAAGAAAACTAAAGGTACAAAGTGTGAAACAAGGGTCCTGACCCCTAGGCCCAACCCTTTCCCAGTGGAAATATACGTTTCAATGGTTCTACTGGGGTCAGAACATTTATCACCTGGAACTAACAAAAATAGGCAGACAGACAGGGATGGCGAGACGGGGAGAAGAAGCCTGGCCTTGGAAACAAAATCCACAGACATCCCAACAATGTCACGTTCTCCTTGGTCCTCTGTCTGATGAATGAAAATGTAAACATACAGTGGGGAGAACAAGTATTTGATACACTGCCGATTTTGCAGGTTTTCCTACTTACAAAGCATGTAGAGGTCTGTAATTTTTATCATAGGTACACTTCAACTGTGAGAGACGGAATGTAAAACAAAAATCCAGAAAATCACATTGTATGATCTTTAAGTAATTAATTTGCATTTTATTGCATGACATACGTATTTGATACATCAGAAAAGCAGAACTTAATATTTGGTACAGAAACCTTTGTTTGCAATTACAGATATCATATGTTTCCTGTAGGTCTTGACCAGGTTTGCACACACTGCAGCAGGGATTTTGGCCCACTCCTCCATACAGACCTTCTCCAGATCCTTCAGGTTTCGGGGCTGTTGCTGGGCAATATGGATTTTCAGCTCCCTCCAAAGATTATCTATTGGGTTCAGGTCTGGAGACTGGCTAGGCCACTCCAGGACCTTGAGATGCTTCTTACGGAGCCACTCCTTAGTTGCCCTGGCTGTGTGTTTCGGGTCGTTGTCATGCTGGAAGACCCAGCCACGACCCATCTTCAATGCTCTTACTGAGGGAAGGAGGTTGTTGGCCAAGATCTCGCGATACATGGCCCCATCCATCCTCCCCTCAATACGGTGCAGTCGTCCTGTCCCCTTTGCAGAAAAGCATCCCCAAAGAATGATGTTTCCACCTCCATGCTTCACGGTTGGGATGGTGTTCTTGGGGTTGTACTCATCCTTCTTCTTCCTCCAAACACGGCGAGTGGAGTTTAGACCAAAAAGCTCTATTTTTGTCTCATCAGACCACATGACCTTCTCCCATTCCTCCTCTAGATCATCCAGATGGTCATTGGCAAACTTCAGACGGGCCTGGACATGCGCTGGCTTGAGCAGGGGGACCTTGCATGCGCTGCAGGATTTTAATCCATGACGGCGTAGTGTGTTACTAATGGTTTTCTTTGAGACTGTGGTCCCAGCTCTCTTCAGGTCATTGACCAGGTCCTGCCGTGTAGTTCTGGGCTGATCCCTCACCTTCCTCATGATCATTGATGCCCCACGAGGTGAGATCTTGCATGGAGCCCCAGACCGAGTGTGATTGACCGTCATCTTGAACTTCTTCCATTTTCTAATAATTGAGCCAACAGTTGTTGCCTTCTCACCAAGCTGCTTGCCTATTGTCCTGTAGCCCATCCCAGCCTTGTGCAGGTCTACAATTTTATCCCTGATGTCCTTACACAGCTCTCTGGTCTTGGCCATTGTGGAGAGGTTGGAGTCTGTTTGATTGAGTGTGTGGACAGGTGTCTTTTATACAGGTAACGAGTTCAAACAGGTGCAGTTAATACAGGTAATGAGTGGAGAACAGGAGGGCTTCTTAAAGAAAAACTAACAGGTCTGTGAGAGCCGGAATTCTTACTGGTTGGTAGGTGATCAAATACTTATGTCATGCAATAAAATGCAAATTATTTACTTAAAAATCATACAATGTGATTTTCTGGATTTTTGTAAGTAGGAAAACCTGCAAAATCGGCAGTGTATCAAATACTTGTTCTCCCCACTGTATATATTTTTCTCAAAATTCAACCATTAGGCAATCATGGCATAAGAAGAAGTGTTGGTGTTTGACAATTTGATAAATGCTTTATCAATTCCAAACTGAATAACAAACTAGAAGAGGAAGGGAAAGGAATGCCAACAGGGTAATGGCAGTAGTTTCTTCCAAAGCTTTTTTGTTGTTGCTGATATTCAAAGAAGTTGTCACCAGTGATTAATAGACTATGTTGTATTAACATGTTGTTGTTACATAGTACTTAAGTAACTGCACTGTAATTGCATAGTATTGGTATGTGTCCCAAAATGGCACCCTATTCCTTAGATAGTACACTACTTCTGACCAGAGCGCTATGGGCCCTGGTCAAAAGTAATGGACTATATAGGGAAAATAGTGCCATTTGGGACGCAGCCATGGAGTTGAGTAATCACACAAGAGTCTTCTCCTCACCTGCCCTCTAGGGCTGCTCTCTCTCTCACGGTCCCCAGCAGCAGTTGGATCTCAGATTTCAGCAGCTCCTTGATGGCAGGGGGGTCAGACAGGGGGGAGCGAGGTCTCTTCGGCCTGTTACCCAGTTTATGGTGCACCGTCTGCCAAATCTGCTGCCACGTAGTCACCTGGAAGTTGGAAACATGGGGAGACATGGGATAGGAAATCAGGAGACAACGCTGTGTAACTTCAGGCTTATAATGAGCGATGAGTCATTATGAATGATGAAATATCAGAAAGACCTGTGAAATGTACATTATATTCAATTGAGACCCTGGCCCATCGAAATCTTATAATTCACATAAGTGTTCTATTTAATATGCGCTGGCCACTGTTGGGCATAGAACTACTGCATGGGTTTTTCAGTTGGCTGGTTTCCCCCAACAAGTTTGCACACTACTCTTTAAAAACACTACCTTCAGGGAAAAAAACAATTAAAGGGGCTACTGCTGAAAAAAAAAAAAAGTGTTATGAAACTGTAGCCAGACAGAGATTAAAAAAAAGGAGAGAGAAAAAGTCTAGCAAATATTCTGGCTGATGGCAGAGCGGCAGAGCCACAGTGCTGGTAAAGAAGTTTAAAGTCTGGAGTCTATTAACATTTTCTGCACCTGGTCCCTGACATTCAGTGTCTATGCTCCATGGAAAGGCCAGCTTCAAAGCCCACTGCTGTCCAGAGGAGAACGTTTAAACACGGTCGGTCCCTGTGTCTTTCAATCTGGCTGTGCCCTCACATATGCACACACACACGCACACACACACACACACACTACCACTATGTCTAGCTGAACTCCGGCCAGGCATCCACACACTGCTTCCCATAATGCCCCAGCCAGCCATTCTCTAAGCAGGTGTTTATGGAGTGAGCCCCCAGGATGCTAACAACAGTAACAAGCTGTTCATTGCTTTATTAATCTCCAAGTGAAACCCACCAGACGACATGGGGAAGGAATTACAGTGTGGTTAACCTCAGTTGTTGACTCATTGGTGTTGTTGTAACTTCACAATAGAGATTGAAGAGGTTGAATGTGGAACATGATAAACATTTGAAATAGGCTAATCTAATAATATATTTTTCATGCTATCCATCCACAAACCAAACATTGACTGAATCGTATGCCATACCCAGTGACACAGGCATTACTAATGTCTGGAGAACATATGATAGCTCAAACCCACATGGTTTGGCAGAGATCCAAGAACATGTGCCCCGGCCTCCTCATTTCCTGTGTTAAACTTAAAAGGAGCTGTCTATTTCATCTGAACTACTGCAGACAATGGTGACCTTGATGGAGAAAAGGCCAGTCTGGGTAGTATTATTATGATATCTCATCTAGAGATTTAACGCTAAGGGAAAGCATTAATTTACTACAGGGTAGAAAGCAACAACAAAAAATACTGAGGGAAATGCAAGGCTGGCTGAGTGAATAGGGCTCAAGTGCTTTGTTTCTAATACTTACTAGAAGTCCTTCCTTCCCTACCTACATGTACAAATTACCTCGACTAACCTGTACCCCCGCACCTTGACTTGGTACCGGTACCCCCTGTATATAGCCTCGTTATTGTTATTTTATTGTTACTTTTTATTTTATTTTTTACTTTAGTTTATTTAGTAAATATTTTCTTAACTCTATTTCTTGAACTGCATTGTTGGTTAAGGGCTTGTAAGTAATCATTTCACCTGTTGTATTCGGCACGTGTGACAAATAACATTTGATTTGATTTTATATCTAAAGAGTTTTTAACCAGTCGGTGCATAGAAATATGTCAGTGTGACCCTTTAAGTCATGTATATGCGCATATTGATCTTATCAACAAGGCAGGATTAGCCCTCTTAACCCCTCGATTGGCCCCCTGACATGCTAAGCTAATTTGAGGGCCTGTGTCATTTTTCTTCTATTCACACAACTATTCCTGGGGTCTCCTTCATTAGTTGTTTGGCCTGTAGAGTGTGACTGTATTTACACTACTGAACTGATCTAATATGGACATTTAAAACATTGTCCCTAGCAGAACATAATTGTAGGATAACATCACTGGGGAGAGTTAAGACTGGAGACCCAGACAGGAAATGGGTGGTTTCATACATATTTATTTTTCCTTTTTGAATATGAACCCTACATGATCTACTTCATTCAAAGTTATTCCTGCATTCCTAATGGAGTTGTAATTCCCTAGCCAGCCTGGTACAATATTATGCAAATTACGCATATCCTTTTTTGCTGACAGCCTTTCTGTCCCTGTTGACCTGTTGTATGCTACTTGATAACATCTTCAGACGGAGTAGTTGGCTTCAGAACAAACAGTGTAAAGCAGTAGGTGGCCCGTTAGCCAAATATGTCACATGGGTGATTGTATTTGCCTCCTCCCCCCCAGTTTCATGAGCAAAAAAAATTTGCAAATAATTTCCGTTGTTGGACATAAAAGGACTGTAAAATCACCAGGAACTCAGCTCAAAGTGATTTTAATTTAGGAAATATGTTCCCAAATATTCCCACACATAAATATAGAGACATATGTGAACGTCTCCCAATGTAACCAAGGTTTGAAATTATTCTGTTTTTGTCAAATACTATATCTATTTGGGATTCTTGCGGTCAATTTGCAGTGTACAAATTATTTTTAACTATGTTCCGTCCCCCCGACCATCCGCTCAAGAAAAAAATCTGCCAGCGGATGAATGTAATTGGGGACCCCTGGTGTAAAGAAAGACTCGAGCCACAGTGTGTGGGTTGATTTGGAACAATCTGAGGACCTAGTCTTGAATAGCTGCATGTATAGCCTCACTAGAGCTCCTAGTGTTTTACACAGCATCTCATTGTACATTGTAGAATCTACCTAAAGCTTTCATGTCTTGCCTTTAATTGTGTCATGTTCACAGTTTCATGTAATCTATTTAAAGTACTAATGCATAGCATTTGCCAACCACATATACTTATCTGGTAGTTATTTCTATCTTGAGTTGTTAGGAAAGTTTATTGAGTCAAGGGAACTTGCTCAAGTGATTTCCAGTCCACCCTTATTGTTTTGGCCAAATGTAATGTGTCAGCTATTGCTGATTGCTACCTAAAGCCAGATATTTGAACAATGCACGACCATGCTCAGTCATTCCTCCAACATGAACAGCACCCTTAAAGTGAGAATCAGCAGATGAAACAATAACAAAGTAATTCCCCACCACTGTTTCTGTAAAAAGATGATGGATGGGGCTGGAGAAATGTAACCACTCTCAAATTCATAGACAGAGCTATGGATGCAAGAAGTGACCATCCATGATATCAAAAGTATAGTTTTAACAATATTTTGAAGCTATACAGTGTTTGTTTACATTTACTTTGTTTACAAACATTGGAGTAAAACAAGCTTATATTTTGGGTTCTAGTGGGGTACGACAGTTGAACTAGCTAAGCTCATATGAGGCATTTATAAGTTATATTATTAAAGAATCAATGGATACAGATAGCTATATCATTCATTTATACATTCAAACATGTATGTAGCAACTGCAGATTGCCCCTTTAAAATGGCTTGGTCCTCACCTCAGAATAAATCTCTGTGTACATGTCAATCAAAGTATCTCCAAGCAAACCCCGGATTTCTGGGAGCTCTGGCTCGGGGACATGCTCCACGATAAGATTCCACACCGAGAGTGGACATTCGGATTCTTCCATGAAGGCACCTAGCAGTTTAAACGGTCGAACAGAGGAGAGAATTTAAAGTAGTCATTGAAATATGTCTGGCCTAGAAGTCATTTGCTTCCTAATAATAATTTGCCGGTTTTGCCAGCAGTAGCAGAAGTGTGCTCGTGGGTTGCCTGCCTCATTTGGCTACTACTGTTGCTAACTAGTTAACGTTTGCTAGCTAGTTTGGTTAGTTGTTAGATAGCTAATGACATTTACAAGAAAGTCCAGCATCTCAGTAACATTAATTGAGTAATTTAATGCACATTCTATTTGTGCTTAAATTGTACATTTTAAAACTGTTGAGAGAAACGTTAGCTAACCTTCTAGTTAGTAAATCAAAGACTAAACTTACCTTGTTGTTGCTTCCTGTATCCAGTGTAAACATTCTTGTCTCCAAGGCAGAAATATCGCGAGATCAGTATCCTCTACCTCTGCTTAGAATAAACTATTTCTAGCACAAGGCTGGTGTAAATAAAATGTTCAATAGTTTAATTTTGGCACTGGAAAATCCATGGGAACATTATTTCAGCTTCATGTTATAGACTACAGTTATTTTTATTTTTTTAATAATTTTTTTCCTATTGCATTAACCAGGTTGAATACAAAGTCAAAGCAGATGTATTTTCTATAATAACCACACATGAATATCTTATTTCATAGAAAGGAACGATAACAAAAAGAGAGCAATGTCTTATCTCAAAGGCAGTTTAAATATTGTGTCTAGCTAACGAATATCAGTAGCCATAGTTATTTCTGTAGGGGAAAACCCCTTCTCATAATTTTGACCATAATGAGTAGGAGGTTATAGCTCACAGGCAGGGACGGACCAGAGTCTAAGCACTAGACTGGGTAGTCACGTGTAAATTGAAACATAACCCCCATAGAGGCGTAATCACTTTCCCTCTCTTTGCACGTTTCTTGCCTCGGATCTGTGCGAGACCGGCTGGGCATTCGAGAATATAGCCGAAATTGTAGGCTAGATGCACATCTGAAACTGTTATTAGGATTTTATATTCTTCAACAATGTGGCAGAAACTGCTAAATGACCATAAACACTAAAGCACATTTTTTATTTTTTAAAATCCTGGACACTGGAAAAACACAATCTCTTTCGTCTTGTTTTGGATAGTTTTTTGGTCATGAAAATGGTTTCAAATCAGCACTATTCGATGGGGGTTATGCGTTCCGTGTTGTCTCTACTGTTCTGTGTCCAGTTCGGTCTGTCTTTCTCTGTGGCTGGACATGAGAACACCTGTGATGCGAACGGCAGCGTCTACTATGTGGGAGAATGGTACTTTCTAGAATCGGACCACTGCACGCAGTGTGAATGCACCACAGAGGGGTCATCTTGTGCACGGACGGAGTGTACCTCTTTGCCGGCCGCTTGCATCCATGTCAGCCACTATCCCACTGACTGCTGTCCAAGATGTGAGAAAATAGGCTGCGAGTACCGGGGAGTGGTGTACGAACTGGGACAAAACTTCCAGGTAGGCTACAGCAAGCATAAGCCCCTACTTGGCACGAGATGATCAAGTGAAACTTTACCTGGAATGAATAAACATAATATTTATTTGATGTCATTTACTTCTCAAATGTCTATTGAGTTGACTAATATTGAATTTCTTCTTACTATAATAAGCGTTGTGCTACGTCCTGAAATCGGCTCTCCAAAGTCTCTCTGTGCGCAATTACGCATCAGCAACTTTGGAGATACTTTTTTCAAAAGTAACGTATTTGATTCAATGTTAACATGTCTCTTAATATATCACTGCATAAGCGTCTTATGACCCAGAAAAACTTGAAAAGCAGTACATTTCATTTTCTTTCTTTTCCGAAACATCTCTGGGCGTCGGACTGTTTCTGGCACTGCATGCTGAACAATTTTCGAATATGGTTAAATTGCGCCACCCTGTGGTTTGTTGTAGAACTACTAACTGCTATGAAAGCTTGTTCTTTCAAGTTTGATACAGTAGTAGCTGAAGCTTTTACTGACAGGGACTGTAACTGGTGAAGATACTGCCACATGGAGGCAGTATGATGCTGTGAATGCTACACTTACAGCAAGTCTATTCAAATGTGACAGTGCATATGTAAATTGAGAGAACAGATATAGACACAAATCACCCACTTGATATTGAGGTTCTTCTGTAGGTACATTGTAAATATTTTAATAATCTCCTTCATAGTCCTCAACCATAAAGCATTTATTACACATATATAATCACATCTTAAACATGGCATTATGGTTGTTATATGTCAGACTTCACTTTTTCAGATATATCTTGAAATGGGCTATAGGCTAGCATCTACACTAATGCTTATAGCTCAGGAAAACCAACATGCTGACACAGTTAAACTTGTCACAGTTAAATTGAAAGCACCTGCATAAGTCAATCTTATCGTTGTAGAATCAGTCGACTGCCCTGTCTCTATGAAAGAGCACTTTCTTCTGTCCAACTGCTCATGTCGAACATTGATATCTGCCAGTGGCAGTCTAAAGAACACTTGCATCCCAAATGGCACCCCATTCCCATTTGGGCTCTGGTCAAAAGTAGTGCACTCTGAAGGGAATAGGGTGCCATTTGGGACGAGGCCTCTGTCTCTGACAGCCTGTGTTTTGTTCTGTTTGTTTGGCAGCCCAATGAGTGCGAGCAGTGTACCTGTGACAGTGACGGCATCGCCCGCTGCCTGGTGGCAGACTGCGCCCCCCCGCCCTGCGTCAACCCTATCTACAACAAAGGGAAGTGCTGCCCAGAGTGCCCAGAGGGTAAGTAAACTGACCTGTATACATCTCATGGTTATTTATGACATAGAACCCCCCACCATACTCAGCAGCACCATCTTGTAAAACAAATCCTGGGGAGAACCCTGAAAAGTATTTTGTTCCATTCTATTCAAGCCAAAGGGAGATGAGGGCTAGAGACAGGGAATATGATGTTCAGACTCCTCACATTGTCTATTCTCTGTGAAAAGTTCTTCATAATTTACCCCTTAGAGTGATGCATGCTGTTAGTTTTGTCACATTACTATTGTCAGCACCACAAGCAACAATATATGAAGGTGATCATTTATGCAAACAAATGGAAGTAGAGGTAGTGGGGGGCAGAAATAGCAATATCAGCATGAAATAATCCGCTTCACGCACCATTACCAATTACTGATTCTCTCTCTCTCCTGTTCTGCGGAGACACTCAGTAGCTTTTAAAAGGAAGTTTATCAAGTTGGAAAATAGCCAAATGAAGATGCATTCATTGTTTGAGTTTAGGTGGTCTATGACCGCGTAATTAAGAGTATATCATTTTTTCAATCACAGTACTTCGGAGGTAATCAATATTTATTGTCTGAAGTTCACATTTCTACTGATCATAAAAATACCCTCTCCTCTTTATGGTAGAGGTGACCGTTTATCCCCATGGAAAGAGAAGCGCAAAGGAAAATATCACAACCAAATAGCAAGTTAACAGAAATGATTGTGTGTGTGTGTTTCCCCAGGGCCCAACTGCTATGTGGATTCAACCCGGAGCCAGGTAATTCCAGGGGGTGAGCCAGTGTGGGTGGACTCCTGCACCAAGTGCCGCTGTCACGACTCAGGTGATGCTGGCTACTGGGAGGGCAACCGCTTGGCCACCTGTTCCCGCGTACGCAACTGCACCCCAGAAGAGGCTAGCCAGAAGAACTGATTAAGTAGGACCAGTCATTTGCCCTGGTATAGGGTGAAGTTGCCCCTAGACACAGATTTTGGGTCAGTTTTGAATTTCCCCCCACTAATGGTTAATGTTAGGATTGGGGGAAGGGAAGCTGATCCTAGAACTGTACCTAGAGGAAACTTCACCCCAGACCGATTTTCCCCTGAATGTTTGGTGGTTATCAGCAGGATGGTTAGAGCGTTGGGCCAGTAACTGAAAGGTCGCTGGTTCGAATACCCGAGGCGACAAGGTGAAAGAACCGGTCAATGTACTCTTGAGCAAGGCAAGAGATGGTTTGGGACCATCTCATGATTCTCATCTTTGTTATTAGACCACTTTTGATATCTTTAAACACATCTGAATACCTTTGGTGTGGGAGTGAACTATCTTTTTAACATTATTTGCCCAAAACATTTCCTAATGTAGTTGAAGGAGGGGACAGTTTGACCCAACTGAGTCTGAAGACCTCTGCTTTTGTGTGTGTACTCTAAACAAGGATTAAGCAGGTGAAGTAGCCACATATTTCTACACTAGTAAGAATGTTTCAATGTAGTGTAGATTATAGGGACTATACTACATTTTGGGATGTTATACTTCTCTAGTAGTGTTATTGGAAGATTTTGACCAACTTTGATGGATATTAATTGAGGTATACCATCTCCATCTTATTTGAATTAGTCATGAATGGAACATTAAATGTATGAAAATAATTTAGAGGTTCTGTAAGCTAAATGCTTGTGTAAGCAAAATGTTTTTTTTTAATGAATATTATAGGTTTGTAAACTATAAACAATTCACTATCAAGAATGTCAGAGATTCATAGGTATGAACATGAAAACGTAACAATGTTCACTTTCTTCCTTTACGTCCATTCTTAAGGGACCATAGCATGAAACCCATTAAAGGAAAGACATCGTTCTTCTTGTGTATGTTGTTGTGCAGCATATTGGTCCATGCTGGCATGGATAGACTTTATGCCAACATCCAAGCTTTGTCATTTCAGGCAAGGCTCTCATTACACTTCTCTAGTCGACTCTCCTAATATAGTGTCTCTTGAGTATGTTATTGAAGATGTATGTTGTTTATCTTTTATCCATGCCTTTAGGAACTCCCTCCATCCTTCATTAAAAAAAAAAACAATGACAACTTACAGTAAGTGAAAACAAAGTGTCCTTGTATGTCCATTAATTATACTGTCCACTACAGTGTGCTGCCATTGTTGTGTAGAAGGATGTTTATTTATTACACACTGGATGTCTTGTCACTAAGGGGATGCCAGCGGTTCATTGTCCAATTTCCCCAAATCCCTCTTGTCGACAGTTTGGGGACAGCGCTCGCCCCTCAACAATAACTGTTCGGTTTTCTGTTCAAACGAGTTATGGGATGGATTTATCTCTGAGACAGTATGAACGTAGTTTTAACACTACCTAGAAATGATCCTTTCTTTGTAATGCATCCACTGATGGGAGCGGGGCTTGGTCAACACTGCCATTAGTAGATCATTCTAAAAACGTGCACCACATTACTATAATTCAGCTAATGCAAACAATTTCCACCCAAGGCGTATGATCCCCTTAGAGCCAGTTTCTGTCTAATATATAACAAAGTAGTTTAGTGTTTCAATTTGAGCTGCAATGCAATGTGATGGTGTTTCTGAACCTCCCTCTGAAGGAACAGCAGTGGCTCAACTATTATAATCAGTTATTATGCTACCAGTTCCACTTTGCCTTTGGAAGCAGGAGAAGGTTCTATCACTCTATTCTCTTCAGTCTCAGTACATTTTCGATTATTCCTCATCGATGGAGAAACGTTTTACAGGTTTCTTTGAATGCCATGGCAACTGGACACAATGGATGGGGAAAAAAACAAGTATCAGCCCCCTCGTCAGGATGGTACATCCCAATGGCACCCTATTCCCTACATAGTGCACTAGTCATAACCAGAGCCCTATGGGCCCTGTTGAAAAGTAGTGCACTATAAAGGAAGTAGGGTGTCATTTAGGACGAAGTTGACAATGCAGGTGAAACATATTTTCTCATCTGGCAAGGAAAAACAAACCAATCACATGAGTGTATCTCATTTACCATCTGATTTATTGATTGTATAGAAAACGTTGGTTTGATATAACATTATGCATTCTATATAAGATATAACATTTTCAACATTCAATGTACAAAACCTAGATACAGTACATCTTTAAAAATGCACTCAAGCTTGAAGGCCCAAGGCAGTCAGTAGGTGATGTTGTTCTCCAATGCCCTCATCCTGTCATGTTTATCTTTCAGTTACCCACCACTTCCTTGAAATGACTGCTCCGACAGTGAGGGAAATTTTTGCTCAATGGGCATTAGGTTGAAACTTATAAGTAGAAGGGGGAAGCCGTGCAGTGTCTGCCAACAGATGGATAAAGAGAGAACTCTCCAAACGGTGGACAGTACCTTAGTTTGCCACCTGTCTGCTTTTCTTATTCAAGGCTGCATCAAAAACATGGTCAACAAAGAAAGCTGATGCTTTCGCAATTATCCATTTCCAGGACAAAACTGAACACAATAATAGTTGACTGTGGGGAGGGAGGGTGCAGAGGGATGAGTCCCAAATGGCACCCTATTGCCTATATGGGCCCTGGTCAAAAGTAGTGCACTATGTAGGGAATAGGGTGCCATTTGGGATGCAGCCGAGGAGCGGTGCTGTATCACTGGTTTATAGCTGGCGAGTTGTGTGGGAGAGACAGTCCTGGGAAGGATGTCTCTAAGCTTGTGCTGAAAGGTCCCCATGTCAATATGCATCATATCAAATCTGTATTATGCAGTACCTACAATGTAATATCACAGTCACTATGTGTGGGGTAGTGGGGCAGAATACAGACAATAGGCCAAACAAGATAATATCATGGATATACCAATATTAATCATGACTAAATGGATATAATAGTACCAATCTAATTGATTATTCCTGTAGTAGCCTACTTGTGCATGATCTCCATATAGATATCAAGTTAACAGAACAGACTGAGTTCTATTGAACGTGTTCTCTGTTCACAACACAAATGACATGATAATGCCTGTCCATGCACCTGTAACACATGATCACTAGCTGTTGATGTCTGATGCAAGTCTGATATGTACAGAAATCACATTCTGTAGTCTACTGTACAGTAAACCGAATATCCACCAATTGTACAGTAAGATCTTTGACTGAAGTTCTGATAAAAAGCCCAGTCTGTAGACCTCACCAGCCGATTTGACAATCATTGGCAAAAACGTTATTTCTATTTTTTTATCAAAGCATTTCATTTAATGAAACCAGTGACTAAAACTTCAGTACCAAGTATTTTCAGGGTTGTGTGCTACTGCATCAGTAGTAAGCTCTTTCTGCTAAGCAGATTTTAGGTAATGATGATGCTAGCTATATATAAAAGCTTCTTCCCACAGTTCCAAGTATATTTAGCCTTTTGGAACATAAAAGCAGAAGCTTGGCAGCATGATGAATCATACTATACTGGGACCATAGGCAGTAATATGTCAAACTCAAACTCCTATGGTCCACAGCCATCAGAAAGCAGTACATACACAGTATTCACCCATTTGACAGAAGTAATGACATCCAGAATACAGTAGCATAAAAGTGCATTGGTCTCCAGTGTAGAATGGGGAGTGTAGAATGGGGAGTAGAGTATTCTCTTTGCGAGATGCTCTCACACCAGTAATAGTACACTCAACAATGAAAAGGCAGCAGAATGAGAGAGAGAAGAGAGAGGATTGTTGAAGTCCTCCTGATATTTCTATAGAGGAGCAGTGTGCTTCAGACACAGCTGTCTGTGTATTCATCAGATGATCAAGTACAGAAACACTGTGGTGTTCACACAGACACACACGGCACATGGAGAGAGGGACGGCAGAGCCAGGGAGGGAAATAAAAGGCAATGGAGGGTGTTGTAAAGAAACAACAAAGAAGGGAAATGCACTCGATGCACTTTAAAAGGCTCTTTAAAATAAACAGAGGGGGGACGGGTTGGTTGGGGCATCTCTAAATACTCACTGTCTCAAGCCTGGCCAAGAAAACCATTGATAGTACAAAAGAGAGATTTCCACATCACTTCATACAACAGAATGCAGCATTCCTTATCATTGCCCCTCATAACAATTGTGAAGGCATCAGTTTGGTGTTTAGGCAGTACACAAAAAGGAAAAGGAGAGAACGGGAGAAGAAAATGCTTCCTTATGTTAAAAGGCTTTTTTACACTGGTGGTGTTAATAGTGAAATTATATTTTATGGGCTGGTTTTCCATTTATTCGAAGGGACTCAATCCTGAGGAAATAACCAACTTCAGTTCTGTTCTTATCACCTCAGTGCTTCTGACTTTGAATGGATGGAATGAATGCTACAATGCAAATATTCACCATACTAGACTGTCCTTATCAACATTATTCACAATTTAAACCATTAGGTTATCAATGCCTTATCATTTTCTTTTCAAAAACGTGGATGACATTTTGAAATAAAACTAAAATAAAACAATGGAGCAGAGTATTGAATTTTGAGCAATAGATTATCCTCTTCTAAAACTGTCCTGGACCCATTGTCATACAGCAAAAGTTTACACTTCCATTGGTATCTAATGTAACCTTCTCTGTGAGTGAGAACATGTCAACAAAAGAGTCTCTAATAATCACCTGTCAGAACCATGCCAGAAGTTCACCTTCTCTTCTATTTACTGGACCTTTCACCTCCACAAACAGGTCAAAACTAGTTCCTTGGATAGCCATATCCATCCACTACCTGGAGGTCTTTATTCACTCAACCTCGTTTCCCTCCACAGAAAGTCACACTTCTTTGTCTTTCAAAATAAAGAGACCAAAGAGAGACCGGAGTTGGTGCACATTGTCGCTCTCCTCCAGCACCGTTTGTCAATGTCAGAGACATGGGAAATGGGGAAAGCCTGTGTTGGATGCAGGCACAGACAGTACACATTCATTTTGCAACAATATTGTATGTTCTGATTGACAGATTCTCACAAGAGAGATCAGGGCAGTTCTTCTTGGTTCTGCTCCAGTAACTCTGAATCCCAAACCCAACTCCAACCCCCAGCATATCAATGATCCAATATGATATGACTCCTCTTGAACCCTGTTGCTTTGTGTTATCAGGACCGAGACACCAGTAGCACTGGACTTTGTCATCCTGATCCCTATTGCTGTGTGTTTCATGTACAGTGTGTGCATTTCCAGAACAGCACTGTCGCCAGGGGAATTAATCTGAATCTGATCTGATATATCCTCCGTCCTCATCTATTCCTGACAGCTAGTCAGTCAGTCAGGGTCCCAGCCATGTTGTAGGCCTGCCGTAACCGTTGAGCTGTCGGCAGGGTGGGACTGCAACGAGTGTGTACCGGTATCCCCACTCAGACTGGGCTGTGAGGGGCCAGGGCAGACTCATAGCCCAGGTCAGTGGGGGGTATCTGGGTCAGGCTGAGGGAGGTGTAGGCGGAGATGAAGGCTCTCTGCTGTGCATTATAGTTCTCTCCCCCATCTCCCTTCCTCCTCCATCCCTCCCTCTCCATGTCCAGGCCGGGGCTCTCTACCTGTCTAGCCCCTGAAAGGCCGGGGCGGGGGCTTGCCGATCTCCACAGAGATGTTGGTGTAGAGAGGGTACTTCTTAAACTGGACCACGCGGTACGTTAACGTGCTGATCCCGTCTCTCTTCATAGTGTTCTTGGTGTTCTGGATCTTGTTGAATCTGGAGAAGAAGAGGCAAAAACTCATTATTATTACTGGGAAATGTTATCATTGTAGCAAACAGTGAAATATTATTGCATGTTTTACTTTTTTTATCACAATCATCATGGCTAACATTTTGGTTTTGCATGTTTCGTGTTACTCCCATATTGGCCAACAGGTGGTGCTATGGGCATGTACTGGAACTCAGAGGACAAATACAGGAATCGTCCATCTGTAACAGTCATCCACTGTCCAATGCCAAGGCTACAATACCCCATGATTTTCTCCGATTTCCTTTTACTGTTTGAAAAGAGGTAGGGATTCAGAGTACATAAACTGCTTCAGTAGCCAGCAGTGCATATCCAATCTTCAAAGAGCAGTGAATGGATCAAACAATATGTATTTTTATGTGCTTGGACATAAACCCACTACGACACAATCCAAGTCAACCCAAGAAGAACCCTGCAGCAGCACCTTGTCACTTACAGCTAAACAGAGATTTCTCTACACGCAGATCTAGTCAGGAATCTAAATTAAAGCGAAATTACTTTTAGGCTAAGAGCCCATTAAATGAGAGGGGAGGAGGTAGTGAAAGAGAGAAAGAGAGAGAGATAGGGAGGGAGAGAGAAAGAGAGCGAGAGAGAGAGAAAGGAGGGGGTAGAGCGAGAGAGAGAGAGAGCAAGAGAGAGAGAGAGCGAGAGAGAGAGAAAGAAGGGGTAGAGAGAGACAGAGAAAGAGCGAGAGAGAGAGAGAGCAAGAGAGAGAGAAAGAAAGAGAGAGAGAGAGAGAGAGAGAGAGAGAGAGAGAGAGAGAGAGAGAGAGAGAGAGAGAGAAAGGAGATGGTAGAGAGAGACAGAGAGTGAGAGCAAGGGAGAAAGAGAGGGGGAGGGAGAGAGAGATGTATCTATAAATCTATCAAGAGGAAAGAGGATTAAAGGCAATAGCCTGAATGTGCTGTACTACTATACTTAATCATAGTCTCTCAATGATCTCACAATGAGGCCTGTGTTCGAGATCGGAGCTATTCTCACGTATTACATAAATATGGACTGTAATAGCAGGCAACCTTCAGAGTAAGCATCCCCTATTCATGTTTTGGTATCAACTTATATCGGCAAGACAGCAGCCAAAAAGCCATAAAATCACTATCTTAGCATGAGATGATGATTTATGAAGCATTTTTGATGATGACGCTACTCTGTGGAAGGAGGAAGCCTAGTATTCATTGAGTTAATATGCATGAGTCCACGGTGTAAGGCAGCGCCAACTAATCTTTTGGAATAATGATGAATGGTAGTCTTTCTTCTTTTGGCAAGCCGTATGTCTCATTATTATGCCTAAATCACATCTCCTACTTCCTACTGACCAAACAGAGCAGGATGAGTGGCAGTAACATAATAGTAGAGGTGGTCAACATTAATCATCAAAAACATCCGCTTTGGCCGTGGTCAGAGATTAGAACCACACTCTCCTGGATACGCTGAAGGATGCCCTGGAATGTCTGGTTGGTAAGATTGGGATTGCAACGGAAGCTGCATAATGATGGTAAACTAGGCTAATTTGTTGACCTAAGAATCATTTTTGGAGGCATAATGCATTTTCCTGCAAGGACAGATACAACATAATAATTAGAGTGCAAGGATAGAATAATTAGTTTTTTTTACAGGAAATAGGCTAATACAGGTTTGTAGGATAGTGATTTTACACTTATTGTTCTTCTTGTGCAGCCTTTCTCTAAGTACTACACACATCATGAGTATATGGGCGTATTATGAGCTTATTATTAAAGGGGCAGTGCAGTCAAAAACGTGATTTACCTTGTGGAAGAATGGTGTCGCATCCCTCCAATAGAGTTCCAGACACTAGTAGAATCTATGCCAAGGTGCATTGAAGCTGTTCTGGCTTATGGTGGCCAAACGCCATATTAAGACACTTTATGTTGGAGTTTCCTTTATTTAGGCAGTTACCTGTATATTGCAACACTATAAGGTTGGAATGATACTGTGAAATGATGAAAATTATGATAATGCACTTTTAGTGTAAGAGCTGTTTGAAAAGACCGCCTGAAATGTCAGCTTGTTTGGCTGGGTGGGGTTTAAGTTCATAGACCAATAATGAAGAGAGTTTGCCCTCCTCTCCGCCAATAACAGCCAGTTTTCAGGTTACACATCCCTCCCATTAGGCTCCTCCAATTAGGCCCCTCTCTCAGATTACTCCCAGACAGTCCAAGTCTTCCTTGAGAAATTGCATTTTGCTAAGACGCTATGTTTGTTTCTTTTAAACCATTTTAATTGAAAACAAGGTATTTAATTGTTTCCCAGAAATGATTTGATATTGAGATAACAAAGTCTGCACTGGACCTTCAAAACATCAGAGACCTTAATAACCTAACCCCAGTGTTCTGCCCTCATCGGGTGCCGATGACATGGACATCAATTAAGGCAGCCCCCCCCGCACCTCTCTGATTCAGATGCAAAAGACACATTTCGGTTGAATACATTCCCCTTTCCCTTCCCCAATACGCTGTTAGAATTTTGAGCAGCGCTCTCTCTCTAAAAGGTTTGGCTATAAAAGCCCAGACCCTTTCAAGGCCTTTCTACTTCCCTCCATTTTAAAACCCAAATGTATTATTTTACGAATCAAAACACTTCAAATAATCCCCAAAGTATTTTAATGAGGGACAAAAAACATTTTTTAGGGAGGTTTCCCTAATAGGGGTTTCTCTGTCTATCTTTCCTCTTCAAGGCATTTATGAATTATTTATTGGCACCAAATAAATTGAGTCCATGACAGCTTTTCGCGAAAGCTGAAGCTCATGGATCAGAATCAAGTCAGGCTGGAGAATAAAGTGTTGGAAATGACAGTCAAAGGATCTCTCTCTCTCTCTCTCTCTCTCTCTCTCTCTCTCTCTCTCTCTCTCTCTCTCTCTCTCTCTCTCTCTCTCAATTCAATTCAATTTGTCTCTCTCTCTCTCTCTCTCTCTCTCTCAATTCAATTTGTCTGTCTGTCTGTCTATCTCTCTCTCTCTATCTATCACACAGCGAGTCAGCGACAGATTCTTTCAAACTAGTCTCTGATGTATTGGTTGTCATAAAGCCAACGGCAGGTAGCTTAGTGGGTAAGAGCGTTGTGCCAGTAACCGAAAGGTCGCTGGTTCTAATCCCCGAGCCGACTAGGTGAAAAATCTGTCGATGTGCCCTTGAGCAAGGCACTTAACCCTAATTGCTCCTGTAAATCGCTCTGGATAAGAGCGTCTGCTAAATGACCAAAAAAAAAAAGAAGTCAACTGGTGTCAATTCAGCAAGTAATTACTCTGACCCATATAAGAGTAACCTAGCTGACATGACACAATTTCATTTCTACAAAAACAAGCCTTGTAATTCATTTCTGATAGCATGTCCTATACTACATGACCCAAGAATGTACATACATCACAGTGTGTTCATGCAGGAAAGATACATCTCTTAGAAATATGTTATGTGATGGTACATATTAGGTAGGTATTAGGTTCAAGGCAACCTGTTCCCTATAGTGCACTACTTTTGACCAGGCCCTGTGGTAGTGCACTATAAAGAGAATAGGGTGTCACTCGGATTCATGTTGATTGGGATTGCATGGTAAGTACTTAGATCAGTATCTATCAACCCATCCACCTTTCACACAGCCACAAGCCAAACAGACAACAGCACGCTTCCCTGGCTCTGTCAGCACAGCAAACCCCTCTTACATCAACATGTTTCAATTCATTAGGCGCAGCAACAACAACTAATTCATTTATATTCAGCTATTCTCTCATCTCCCATGGAAATGAGTTTATTAGGCTCTCGCGCTAGCTATGCAAGGGCTCTGCATTGGTTCATTATTAGTATTGTCTGAGGCACTCATCAACATGAGTGTTGTCTTCTGTGGCTGTTATCTTCACACACTGGAAATCATAGGGAGTGGGAGTTCATGGAAAACTAATAGAACCAAGATCAGGCTGATGATTAAATGGCCGCCCCATGGTTATTTAGCCTTCCGAGCATGGTAAGAGCCAGCAAGGGGGTTGGATGTGATCAATAAAAGCCTGTAACTTCTATAGTGCGTGCGCTCATGCTATGCAATAATAATGTTGTGCAAATTGCAGCTCAGCTCTGTAGGGTTCTGGGGTTTGACAACAATCAGAAGTAATAGCGCTGCATATAGCCATGCAGTTATCGATCTGCTCTTTTTAGAGTCATTGATGGGTCGGCTATTCATGCATGAAAGAGCCCTCTTAGCAGTGAATAAACAATGATAATCCATTTCTATGATGGGTGTTATGAGGTTATTTTCCAACCAAATCTATGGGATATGACATGGGGGGATTCACCTTAGAGCAGCCTTATAAATGTGAGTTGGCATTATAATGTGTTGAGTGTGAGATAACCTTTATCAAAAAGACAACTTTGGTAACTGAGCAAACAATAGATACAGTACCTGTACTTTCTGTACCTTAAGGAAAAGTCTGATCCCAGATCTGTTTTGTGCTGTCCTGACAACTCCTATGTCATTGTTGGCAAGACAGCACAAACAGATCTGGGACCTAGTGAGGAAAAGATAGAAATCAAATGCAAACCTTTGTGGGTTGGGTTCATTGTGTTTGTCTCTTTCGTGTTTGATCATCCTGTAGCGGCCAATCCGGACATCCGGTCGAACCACCTTCATCCCGTTGAGGGTGATCCTACAACAGAGTCATGGTTTAGAAAGGATCAGAGTTTGCGTCCCAAATGGCACCCTATTCCCTACATAGTGCACTACTTTTGACCAGAACCCTATTCCTATTGACCCTGGTCAAAAGCAGTGCACTACATAGGAAATAGGGTGCCATTTGGGAAGCTACCATTATCACACTTACAGCCATAGAAATATAAGTCATAACCGCTCCAAAACCGCTGTAGCAATGCCAGCCATGACCAGACACTCTCATAGCAATGTTAAGTTAAGCTTTAGCTGTAAGGCAACAACAATGGGGTAAAGCAAGGCACTGACTGTAGACACCAATCTGTACAAACTAAATCCTAGAACTATAATAAGAAATTACTGTATATTCCTTTACGCAGTGATATGGAACCGTGTGTGTGTTCGGATGTTTACAATGTTTGGTTCCCAAGATGGGATGAAATGGTTTTATTTCTCTCTGTAATGCTCTGATTCATGCTGGATCTCCTGTGTTACTGGTGCAGCCAACCCTGATATTACAGTTTGTATCTGTGGGCCTCGCTCTTACTGACTGACAAACAAACAGCAAAACACATTGCTTCTGCATCCCGCCATCAAAGCCTCATTAGAACATATGAGAAGAAAATACCAAGCGAGTCAAAAAAACATTTATGAATACAAATTCAGTAGAACAGATTGAAGAAAACTCAGGCTCTTCCCAGTAAGTGTCTCTTAGCGTTCCTGAAGGGTCCAGCCAAAGCAGTCATGCTAACCATCTTGGAAAACAAAGGCATTTGTTTGAGTAAAATGCTGCTTCCAGCTGCTTGATTGCTTGAACAATCGGCTCATTATAATCTCCCCATTTGGCTCTTTATCTGTGTGGAGCCCCTGGAGAAGAAATTGGTCATGTGAGCATCACGTTGCTCCAGCTTTAGCGATAGGCTAGCTGTTGCTTCTCTCTCAGGACCTCCCTCTTTCTCCGGAGTACATGATGGAGATCAATAACATAAACAGTGTGTATGTGTGTGCATGTGTCCTGTCTGTGCGTGTGTGTCCGTGTGTTAGGGCTTGTGGGTTTCTCTTCCATTAACACCAGCGAGGAGGCTTGGTAATACATAATGCAGAGAGTTGATTTGAAATAATCTCCTTGTATATTCCTGACCCAGAAACAACATCACTAAGGATTAAGTGACGGAAATATAGACAAATAGCATAGATTGCATCCCAAATGGCACCCTATTCCCAATATAGTGCACTAATTTTGACCAGGACTCATATTGCCCTGGTCAAAAGTAGTGCACTCTGTAGGGAATGGAGTGCCATTTCAGATGCAACCTACTGTATGTAACCAGAATAGGTATGTATACTTTACCTGGCTCATTTAGAGCTTGGTAGAAGCTACTAGAACTAACTGACCAACTGGGTCTGTGTCAAGTACTGTACACCTACATGAATATGATCCACTTCAGGCCAGTTACATACCAGCTGGAAACTGAACTATTCAGTGACTTCTTTGGCTTTAAGACATTATGTAGTGTTAACCATGGTTTCAAGGTATCAGGTGGAAAAAGCTCCAACCAACTACAGTGATTTCAAGGAGATAAGAGGGCAGGTAGAGGGATGGGCACGGAGCTCAGTCTCAGCTCTATCTCCCAATCAATGGTTAGCCTCGCCTGGTTAATCCATGTGTGAGTTAATCAATACTATGGTACTTAGTTTGTACTGTAAGCTGAAGAAAGTGGGCCACCCTGTCTGGATGTACTTTCAAAATCATTTCTTTCACTTGATTTTTTCTGACAAAAGAAAATGTACAGACATCAGCAGGAGGTTAGGCATACATCCTTTTTTGACAATTTCTTTACTTTAGGACAAGTTGAGGAGAAAGAATTCTAACACGTTCCGGGAACAGCCTTCACCAAAAAACGTAATTGATTGTAAGATGTGAATGTATTGTAAGATATAGTGTCCGTGACATGAGCTGTACTGTATAATATGCCATTTAGCAGATGAGACAACATGGGTGTCTGACAGGTTTCTTTGTCATCATTTACTGTTCTGTTTGGTCATAAGCCATGGGACTACATGTGGTGCTGCTGCACCCTTTGATGCATTAACTTGACTTCTTTCCTCCATGTTTTAACATCCTGCTGTCTCAGCCCAGCGAGCACACAAAAGTGGCTCAATGGTATTGAACAGTGTTGTGTGCCAAGGATCTGTGGATGCTTTCATTCCGAACCAGATTCCTTGAACTCCATCAAACCTTTTGAAACCAATGATGAAGAGGGGGAATGATGAAGAGAGAGCATTGAGCAATATAATATAATAATATAATCCAAAGCATTTTTGGAAGAAAATAAAATAGAGAGGAAATAAATTCCTGTCTTTGACCTTGCACAACAAAACTCTGAAAACGTGGAAGATGTGTTGTTCATTCCTCTCTTAGGCACAATGAGATAAGATCATCGTTGCTGAAAAGGAAGATATCTGTTTTCCTAGATTTACATTGCCCTTAGAAACAAAGTAGTATTCAGGCTCAGAGAAAGGAGGACAAACATTAGTATGATTACATTGTCCGTTTTTTGTATGGTTGTATGGCTCATAATAATGGCTGGAATGGAGTGAATAGAATGGTATCGAACACATGAAAACTATGTGTTTGTTACTATTCCATTCACTCCATTCCGGCCATTATTATAAGCCGTCCTCCCCTCAGCAGCCTCCACTGCTGCAAAATGGTTGCTCTCTCGCAATGCATACATATATTGCAATGCTTGTCCCTCATTGACTTCCTTAGTATTCTCACATTGCCACTGATATCATTCACTCTCTATGTAGCTGTTAAATATTACAACAAACAATTAACAAGAAATCATTGTTTTCCTGAGGCACAGTGGTAGTATTGATATAGCTGTCTGGACAACTAATTTGTCCTTGCGTGCCCTTTTGATTGGATTAAGAATGTCTCCAGCTTTTTTTCATTTCTCAACAGTCTTGCTTAATTGCATTAGACTCTTGGAGTCGAGGGGAATTGGAATCTGCCGCATCCCCTCATTTCACTCTGTCAGAGCCAAAATGAGAGGGGCGCTGCTGAGAAAGAAGCCAGTGGGGAGAGACGAGGAGATGAGCGAAGCGAAGCTGAAATCGCTCATGTTGGATTGAGAGTGTGTTTGCTCTGTCTGTGATGGTCTTGCAGACTGCGGTGGTTCTACCTCTCTGCTGCCTGCCCACTCTCTGTCCACTCCCTCCTGTTTCCCTCTAATTAGAAATAGTCACACGAGGGCAATCGAGAAATGAGAGTCCTGCCAGGGCTGGCACTTTTCTCCTCTATCGCCCTCGCTCTATTACAGACAGACCAAATGTAGACTAGATAGTTTGCCCATGTTTGAAATAAAAAAGATGACAATTTCAAATAGGCTATGACTTGGGATTGTATATTTATTGAGTAATCTTCTTTGAAATGGTCTCTCCTCTATCTGTCTGTTGTAATCAGTATAAGCTAGGTGTATATTTAGGCCAGGGAGAGCCTGTCTGTCTGTCACCAGAGACAGTCAGAGCTCAGACAGTCAGTCACCTTAGTAGTAGAAGTAAATATGAGGGAACTAACTCTCCCTCCAGGGCCCTGTGTTTCACTGCAAAGATGCTGACAGTCAAGGAGTTGCCCATCCAAGACACTGGATGGATATGCTGCTCTTCAGTTGTACGTACATGCCCAGGAGGGGTGACAAAGACAGAGCTTTTTAAGTTTCCTTCCATTCCGGTTGCTGGTCTCTGGGTGAATGGGCTCTACAGGAAGCAGGGAAAACAGTGTCATCTATCTGTTTCTCCACTACTGCCAACATCACCTCCAGCTATTTCTGTCTACCCTTCCCTCCTTCACTCAATGAAACTGTATAGTGAGGACCTTCAACAAAGCTCATATTAGCCAATCAAATAAAGGCTTGAAAATCACCACTTTCTTTCCCTCTTTAACTGTTTATTTGGGTGGGGGTAAATCAACCCAGACATATTTATGAAGAGGTACGACTGTTAAAAAGGGGTCATCACAGTTGGAGATGTTGGCACTGTCTGTAACGTGAGTTATTCCCTCCAAGCAAATCATAAGGGATATTACCCGGCAGATTCTGACAGCATTGCACAGAACCAAAAGCACTACAATAAATGAGGAACTCCCCACAATATTTAGTTGTCCTGCTTGCAACCTTAAATCAGTGCTACAAGGTTGTGAGTGCATTACTGCTCCTCACCACTAATAGTGCTATACTACCACTGGAGTTAAAATACAGTATAGCCTATGCAACTAACCTATCATAAAACGCAAATATCACAAAATACACTTTGAACTCTTAACATATTATAGAGCAGAGTGCATCATGATTCATGAAAAAAACTAAACCAGTTTTGTCTCTAGTCTTTACTGCTCTATGGAGAGATTTTTGGTTATTGTCATCTTCTGTCCTCTTCTGAACTGTGTGTCAACACACTACTCCCATAATCACTCTGATCCCAGTAAGCCTCCCTCTCATTGCTGGAAGATCTGTTGTGTTACATCAGCTATTATTACCATCTGGGATTGTGGACCAGTCTGCCAGTGCTAGGCCTGCTGAGCCCACTGAATCTTAGTCATTAAAGGAAGCACTCTATACGCTCTTTCTCTCTCTACAAGTCATAGGTTAGCCTACATAGATGATGTGATTTTAACACTAGAAAAGCCTGGCCTCGAGCCATCCCGTTCTGAGCCAATGACCAGTCATTTTGACTGCAACATTCTAACAGTCTAATAAATACATTTCATGTATGCTATCAGAAAAATAATCATTTGGTTGTGTTTATGAAGGTCCTGGGTCACATTAGAATACGAATAAAAAAATATTTAAAAGAACACAATAGCATTTTCTTAGTTTATGTTACTGTAGGCCAGGGATCATCAACTAGAGTCAGCCCTAGGCCAATTTTTTGTTGAGCGGATGGTTGGGGGGCCGGAACATAATTACATATAATTTGTAGACTGCAAATTGATCGCAAGAAGCCCAAACAGATTTAATATTTGACTAAAACATAACCACAATTCAAGTATTAAATCCATCACAAAGAAATTATAATAATTTTGGCAGGTCTTAAGAAACATTATGAAACTAAGAAAATGTATTTCAAAATAACAGAATAGCATATTTGAAGTTGTATTATGTTATTAGTAGCCTGGGCTATATGCTGCCGCATGCTCACGTGTGGAGGGCATGGAACAGCTGCTATTCTTGGAAAAAGTTATATTTTGAAATAGAACTCATCTCTTAACTTTTTAGAGTTCTTTTGCAAAGGTAAGTGTTTTAGAAACCTCATAATCTGATCTTTCTCTCCAAGGTCAATATAGTTTGGTTTTTTTATATTCTTTTTTATTTCTATTCGATTTTATTTGGAATTTAGTTCAGTTTCAGTTTGTTTTCAGACTTGATTTGCTAGTATTTATTTAGTTTCAGTTGTATAAAAATATTTATAATTCGTTTTTTATATTATTTAGCTTCAGTTTTAGTTTTAGTCTTCGGGACAGAAAGCATGAGTGGGCCAATGTCACGCCCTGGCTCTGGGGACACTGTTATGTTGAGCCAGGGTGTGTATTCTATGTTTGTATTTCTATGTTGGCCTGAGTGACTCCCAATCAGAGGCAACGAGTGTCTGCTGGTTGTCTCTGATTGGGAGCCATATTTAACTGTATGTCTTTCACTTTGTGTTTGTGGTTTCTTGTTCGTGTTGGTTTGTGTTTAAACCGTAGACGTCACGTTTTCGTTTGTTGTTTTGATCGTGTGATTATTAAATAAATATAAATATGTTCACCTTCAATGCTGCGCATTGGTCTCTCCCTGACGATCGTGACAGAAGAAACCACCAAAACCGGACCAAGCAGCGTGTCCAGGAGCCATCGCTAGCAGATCTCCGTGGCAACCTCGACTGGGTCAAGCCTAGTGAGGAGCAGAGAGGGTGGACTTGGGAACAGTTGAGGAAGAGCTTCGACTGGGTCAAGCCCATTGAGGAGCTGAATAGCGGGAGTTGGAGACAGAGGAGCGAGAGTTGGGCGAAAACGATAGAGGCCTGGCCCACGGGGAGGAGAGACCCCCAGAAAATTTTTAGGGGGGGGGCTCACGACGTCGGGGCAGCAGGAGGCCGCGATAGAGCGGTCCAGCGGGTTGGCAGAGGAGGCCGCCAGGTTACGGGGGCCACTGGTCGAAGAGGGGATGGAAGGTGGAGAGGCACGGCGAGAGGTACTGGGGTGTGTTACCAGTCCGGTCCGGCCCGTTCCAGATCCCGGTGTAGGGCCAGTGGTGTGTGTCCCCAGTACGGTCCGGTCTGTTCCTGCTCCCCGCACCAAGTCTGTGGTGCGTTTCGTCAGCCCTGTCCGGCCCGTTCCTGCTCTCCGCACCAAGTCTGTGGTGCGCGTCGCCAGCCCAGTCCGGCCCATTCCTGCTCCCCGCACCAAGTCTGTGGTGCGTCTCGTCAGCCCGGCTCGGCCCGTTCCTGCTCCCCGCACCAAGTCAGTGGTGCGCTTCGTCAGCCCGGCTCGGCCCATTCCTGCTCCCCGCACCAAGTCTGTGGTGCGTTTCGTCAGCCCTGTCCGGCCCGCTCCTGCTCCCCACACCAAGCCAGTGGTGTGCGTCGTCAGTCCAGCACGGCCCGTGCCTGTTCCCCACACCAAGCCAGTGGTGTGCGTCGTCGGTCCGGCACGGCCCGTGCCTGTTCCACTGGTGCCTGGTCCGGCACCGGTCAGATGCGTTACGCCGGAGCTAGAGCAATCCGCTCCATCAGTGTGCAGTCCAGCTCCGGCCAGCGGGGCCAGACCGGACCAGGGGTACTTTGGGGGGTTGGAGAGGGAGTGGGGATCAGGCCCGGAGCCGGATCCGCCGCCAAGGCGGAGTGCCCACCCGGTCCCTCCCCTGTGGTATTTAGTTGGCGCGGTCGGAGTCCGCGCCTTTAGGGGGGGGTACTGTCACGCCCTGGCTCTGGGGACACTGTTATGTTGAGCCAGGGTGTGTATTCTATGTTTGTATTTCTATGTTGGCCTGAGTGACTCCCAATCAGAGGCAACGAGTGTCTGCTGGTTGTCTCTGATTGGGAGCCATATTTAACTGTCTGTCTTTCACTTTGTGTTTGTGGTTTCTTGTTCGTGTTGGTTTGTGTTTAAACCGTAGACGTCACGTTTTCGTTTGTTGTTTTGATCGTGTGATTATTAAATAAATATAAATATGTTCACCTTCAACGCTGCGCATTGGTCTCTCCCTGACGATCGTGACAGCCAAGCTAGAAGCAATTTGTGTTGTATAGTTTTTGTGTGTTTTTTGTTATGTCAATTCTTGCAACTACAATTCTTGCAACAGTAATAATAAGGTGATGGGTCAGGTCATAGGTTAAGTTAGGTTTAAAGTGGCAATCAGCAGTTGCTACATCCATACATAAATTAATGATATGTACCCATTGATTCTTGAAGAATATAACTTATAAATGCCTCATGAGCGTAGTTCATGTTTCGTTCCCCATCAGAACCCAAAATATAAGCTTGTTTAACTCAAATGTTTGTATAAAAAGTAAACAAACACTGTAAAGCCTCAAAACATGGGGCTCTACTCAATCTGTATCGCTCAAGTGTTACAGATTGCACAATAGAAATGTAAAGGTAATTTCCAATTGAGCCGACTTATGCAGCGTTTACCGTGAATTCAGTCTCCGAACATTGCCTTTAAATTTCAATTATGCTTTAACACTGAACTTCCGCGATATGGATTGAATAGAGCCCATGGTTAAAACTATCATTTTTATATCATGAATGGTCAGTCCTTGCATCAATAGCTCTGTCTATGAATTTTAGAGTGGTTAAATTTTCCAGCCCCATCCCTCAGCTTTTTACAACTGCTGATTGGCCCTTTCAATTATAAACTCAATCTCAATGTGGCTTGGATTTAAAAGGAATAGCACTGACGCCCATGTTTACACCAATCCAATGCTTTTTCACCTCAGTAGGACATGTAAGAAGAATCAAGTTAGCTACCTAGCCGATTCTTTCCCTGTTAGCTAGTGATTGAAATGTAGTCTCGGATATCCCAGACCTTGGAGCATCGTAAACTAGGCAAGCAACCCATCTGTCTCGAGAAACGAATAGTGATGCACAAACTAGCCCTGTTTGTAACATCACCATCTCCTGGCAGTATTTACCCACCAGATTCAGTAGCTTGAAACCCCCCCAAAAGCTGTAAAACCCCACTAAAAACCCCATTCGATTTTTGCCCAAAGTAAAATAAAATCAAAAATACAACTGAACATAATTCATGATGGTTTGTATTTAATTTTAGTTCGTTTTGGAGTCAAAGATAGTTTCAGTATAGTTTTAGTTTTTCAAATGGGTTGTTAATTATTGTATTTTATTTTACTAAATAAATGTTTCATGATTAGTTTTTGTTTTAGTTTGTTTACTATAATAACCTTGTTTCTCACTTTCTCTATATAGAAATAAAACGTCTTACCTGCTTGTGACTCGGTAGGAGGATTTTAAAAAGTCACTTTTTGGCGCTCCGTTTCCCTGCCTCTGTGCAATTCCAAGCTGCGCTGGCCCATCTCTTCAATTTGACAATTGATAATATTGTCACCCATCAGACTACTGTCAATTCAATCTTGTCTTCAGGCTAATTCTATTGTTATACAGTGCATTCGGAAAGTATTCAGACCCCTTGACTTTTTCCACATTTTGTTACGTTACAGCCTTATTCTAAAATTGATTAAATAAAAAATGTTCCTCATCAATCTACACACAATACCACATAATGACAAAGTGAAAACAGGGTTTTAGACATTTTTACAAATATAAAAAACAGAAATACCTTATCTTGTGAGTATTCAGACCCTTTCCTATTCAGACCCTTTGCTTTGAGACTCGAAATTGAGCTCAGGTGCATTCTGTTTCCATTGATCATCCTTGAGATTTTTCTACAAGTTGATTGGAGTCCACCTGTGGCAAATTCAATTGATTGGACATGATTTGAAAAGGCACACACCTGTCTATAATAAGGTCCTACAGTTGACAGTCCATGTCAGAGCAGAGCAAAAACCAAGCAATGAGGTTGATGGAAATGTCCGTAGAGCTCTGAGACAGGATTGTGTCGAGGCACATATCTGGGGAAGTGTACCGAAAATTTCAGCAGCATTGAAGGTCCCCAAGAACACAGTGGCCTCCTTCATTCTTCAATGGAAGAAGTTTGGAACCACCAAGACTCTTCCTAGAGCTGGCCGCCCGGCCAAACTGAGCAATCGGGAGAGAAGGGCCTTGGTCAGGGAGGTGACCAAGAACCCGATGGTCACTCTGACAGAGCTCCAGAGTTCCTCTGTGGAGATGGGAGAACCTTACAGAAGGACAACCATCTCTGCAGCACTCTACCAATCAGGCCTTTACGGTAGAGTGGCCAGACGGAAGCCACTCCTCAGAAAAAGGCACTTGACAGCCCGCTTGGAGTTTGCCAAAATGCACCTAAAACTCTCAGACCATGAGAAACAAGATTCTCTGGTCTGATGAAACCAAGATTGAACTCTTTGGCCTGAATGCCAAGCGTCACGTCTGGAGGAAACCTGGCACCATCCCTACGGTGAAGCATGGTGGTGGCAGCATAATGCTGTGGGTATGCTTTTCAGCGGTCCAGAGTGATCTTTGATGAAAACCTGCTCCAGAACTCAGACTGTTTTTGCCTTGTCATTATGGGGTATTGTGTGTAGACTGATGAGAAAAACAATGTAATACATTTTAGAATAAGGCTGTAACGTAACAAAATGTGGAAAAGGTGCAGGGGTCTGAATACTTTCCCAATTACATTTACGTCATTTAGCAGACGCTCTTATCCAGAGCGACTTACAAATTACATGATGAAAATGTATCTATGAGATAAGATGATAATTTATACCTTTTAACAAATCATTTTTTAGTATGTTGGCTATTTAGAATTGTATACGAGTAGCCAAGTCAGTTGAATGAGAGTGAGCCAACTTTATTGAAGAGAGAAGCACCAGATAAACTATTTTAAATCTTCAAGGTTTCAGACTCCCTTCATTCTTCTCACCATACCCTATCCAGGTCTCAAGGTTTAAGAGGGTACACTACACTAACGTGTGTTGTGGGTTTTCACTATGAGCTAAAAGGGGTTTACGGGTGTACTAGGCCTACACTTACCATTGCAGAGTAGTCAATGTTGCATTATGTGAGTACCATAAATTACTACGTTCTTGGTCACTTTACCTGAAAAACGGTGGGACACAGACCATCATAATACACTGTAAACAACTACCATGCTTTCATGTTTCACTACATGCTGCTAGAACAAAACCATGGATTTTTTTTGAAGAAAAAGAAAATTCATGTTTTTTTGGTCACTACCATCGCAGAAAAATACCATGGTACTGATGCAAATGGTAGTACAATGAAAAAATGAGTGTGTGCTAAGCTTGTAGTGTCATACCCAAGATGAATCAAGGCTGTAATCACTGCCAAAGGTGCTTCAACAAAGTACTGAGTAAAGGGTCTGAATACTTATGTAAATGTAATATTAAAGTTTTTTTTTTAAATACCTTTGCAAAAAATTCTAAAAACCTGTTTTTGCTTTGTCATTATGGGGTAATGTCTGTATATTGATGAGGGGAAAAAAAACAATTTAACCCATTCTAGAATAAGGCTGTAACATAACAAAATGTGGAAAAAGTAAAGGGGTCTGGATACTTTAGAATGCACTGTATGTGTGAAATTAGTTTAAATATGGTTAAGATGTAGTTTTGATGGGCCATCAGCTGACTGCCGGTGAATGAGCGGCAGGGGGGGACATGTCCTTTTAAAACTGCTTTTAATACAAATTCTGTCCATGATATCGAAAATCTAACAACATATGTACAGTGGGGAGAACAAGTATTTGATACACTGACGATTTTGCAGGTTTTCCTACTTACAAAGCATGTAGAGGTCTGTAATTTTTATCATAGGTACACTTCAACTGTGAGAGATGGAATCTAAACCTGCTCCAGAGCGCTCAGGACCTCAGAATGGGGCAAAGGTTCACCTTCCAACAGGACAATGACCCTAAGCACACAGCCAAGACAACACAGGAGTGGCTTCGGGACATGTCTCTGAATGTCCTTGAGTGGCCCAGCCAGAGCCCGGACTTGAACCCAATCGAACATCTCTGGAGAGACCTGAAAATAACTGTGCAGTGACGCTCCCCATCCAACCTGACAGAGCTTGAGAGGATCTGCAGAGAAGAATGGGAGAAACTCCCCAAATACAGGTGTGCCAAGCTTGTAGTGTCATACCCAAGAAGACCTGAGGCTATAATCGCTGCCAAAGGCGCTTCAACAAAATACTGAGTAAAGGGTCTGAATACCTACAGTGGGGAGAACAAGTATTTGATACAATGCCGATTTTGCAGGTTTTCCTACTTACAAAGCATGTAGAGGTCTGTAATTTTTATCATAGGTACACTTCAACTGTGAGAGACAGAATCTATAACAAAAATCCAGAAAATCACACTGTATGATTTTTAAGTAATTAATTTGCATTTTATTGCATGACATAAGTATTTGATCACCTACCAACCAGTAAGAATTCCGGCTCTCACAGACCTGTTAGTTTTTCTTTAAGAAGCCCTCCTGTTCTCCACTCATTACCTGTATTAACTGCACCTATTTGAACTCGTTACCTGTATAAAAGACACCTGTCCACACACTCAATCAAACAGACTCCAACCTCTCCACAATGGCCAAGACCAGAGAGCTGTGTAAGGACATCAGGGATAAAATTGTAGACCTGCACAAGGCTGGGATGGGCTACAGGACAATAGGCAAGCAGCTTGGTGAGAAGGTAACAACTGTTGGCTCAATTATTAGAAAATGGAAGAAGTTCAAGATGACGGTCAATCACCCTCGGTCTGGGGCTCCATGCAAGATCTCACCTCGTGGGGCATCAATGATCATGAGGAAGGTGAGGGATCAGCCCAGAACTACACGGCAGGACCTGGTCAATGACTTGAAGAGAGCTGGGACCACAGTCTCAAAGAAAACCATTAGTAACACACTACGCCGTCATGGATTAAAATCCTGCAGCGCACGCAAGGTCTCCCTGCTCAAGCCAGCGCATGTCCAGGCCCGTCTGAAGTTTGCCAATGACCATCTGGATGATCCAGAGGAGGAATGGGAGAAGGTCATGTGGTCTGATGAGACAAAAATAGAGCTTTTTGGTCTAAACTCCACTCGCCGTGTTTGTAGGAAGAAGAAGGATGAGTACAACCCCAAGAACACCATCCCAACCGTGAAGCATGGAGGTGGAAACATCATTCTTTGGGGATGCTTTTCTGCAAAGGGGACAGGACGACTGCACCGTATTGAGGGGAGGATGGATGGGGCCATGTATCGCAAGATCTTGGCCAACAACCTCCTTCCCTCAGTAAGAGCATTGAAGATGGGTCGTGGCTGGGTCTTCCAGCATGACAACGACCCGAAACACAGAGCCAGGGCAACTAAAGAGTGGCTCCGTAAGAAGCATCTCAAGGTCCTGGAGTGGCCTAGCCAGTCTCCAGACCTGAACCCAATAGAAAATCTTTGGAGGGAGCTGAAAGTCCATATTGCCCAGCGACAGCCCCGAAACCTGAAGGATCTGGAGAAGGTCTGTATGGAGGAGTGGGCCAAAATCCCTGTTGCAGTGTGTGCAAACCTGGTCAAGACCTACAGGAAACGTATGATCTCTGTAATTGCAAACAAAGGTTTCTGTACCAAATATTAAGTTCTGCTTTTCTGATGTATCAAATACTTATGTCGTGCAATAAAATGCAAATTACTTAAAAATCATACAATGTGATTTTCTGGATTTTTGTTTTAGATTCCGTCTCTCACAGTTGAAGTGTACCTATGATTAAAATTACAGACCTCTACATGCTTTGTAAGTAGGAAAACCTGCAAAATCGGCAGTGTATGATTTTTCTATTTTAAATTAATATGCAGTCAAAATGACTGCCTCAGTGCTTCTAGTGTTAAAGAGGGAAGAGTGCTGTCACTGACATCCCTTCACTCCGGCACCCATGGATCTCAGATCAATAGATTGTGGGCATGGCCGTATAGCACTGAACAGGGACATGGACTCCCACGAGCTGTGATTGTGTTGGCAGGCCCCAATTTAGGCGAAGATGCCATGTATTGTTGCAGTGAACCCAGGGGAAGGAGCCAGTGGAACAAGAGAAAGAGAGACACTAGCAACAGGCCAGGCCCCATCACTCACACATCACCATCTCTCTGGGTGCCTGGGGAAGAGACCTTCACCACCACCCCAGTCACAGACCAGTCTGAGTCTGCATCCCAAATGGCACCCTATTCCCTATATATTGCACTACTTTTGACCAGAGCCCTGTGTGCCCTGGTCAAAAGTAGTGCACTACGTATATAGGGAATAGGGTGCCATTTGGGACACAACCTGAGTCTATTCACTGCTGCACGCTAGCCTAACACCAGGCATCACCATCAGTCCCTGCCTGGCCATGAGATCCAGTGTATATTCAGGGGAATTTCAAATTGCTTTATATAAAATGGCTTTAAAACAAGTGAGACTTTAAAAGGTTCTGGATTTCAATGAAAGACAACCTTCTTGCTCTTTTTTCTATGCTTATTTTGGTGTCTACAACATTGACTTTAGCCTTTCACACTCATGTATTGGGTGCAGAATGGGGGAGGATAATATTCCAGCACATCCCACATCATCCACTGAAAAAAAATTGGTCTGTTGAAGGAAGCATCTCGGGGGAAATCTTAACGCTTTAATGGATCAACTCTACTGCAGCTACTATCAAGCTAATACAGTTTTTACTCCCCCAACATCATCCCTCCAATCATGTCTTCTCTTCAGATGCGAGGGCTCGGGGCAGACACACACAAAGAAAGATTCCTTTTATCACATACTGTAATGCACATCCTGCCAGCCTCTATCTGTGACGCAATAATCCCCTGTATACCGTCCCACATCCCATGGAAAGGGGCCAATTCGAAACACTCTATTTACCTATTTTGTGTTTTGTGTTATCACTTTGGGAACAGAGTTGGGTTCGTAGATGGAATGGTGGAAGTCACATATCTCCTGAGCGAAAGGGAAGATGCTAGATGACATGAAAGAGCGATCTATTCTCCTCTAAAACAAGTGTCAGTAAAATGAGAAACTGCTGCTCTATTGTCTGACAAAAACGTATACAATGAAATCAGGACCGTCTGCGAGCAGCACTGAGAGATAACATTGTTGGGATGAACAATTACTTTATATCTGGTCATTCAATATTTTTTTTATTTCAATGATAAAGTCAATATTTTTTTTATTTCAATGACAAAGTCAAATGACAGGCCAGGCATACATTTTGCATTTCACAAGACCTGTAGCTGTGCCCACTTCACTCTTGCAATATCTTATCTGTGCCTTTAAAATGTTATCAGCATTAAATAATGAAAAGCTTCTAAAGTACAGGCACTTTGCAGCAATGACTAATACTGGAGCAATAGAGATTTTTCTGCCTAATATGCAAACTACTGAAACAGCTACATGTATAATCTAAATGTCAAATACAATGGCTGCATTCATTTTCTGGTATGGTGCTGGGATTGATGGGAGTTTTATATTTTAATTTTTTCTGCCCTGCAGTCTTACCTGTTATAGATGTCGTCATCTTCTCCTCCCCAGCCCCAGTACTCGTTGGGGAAGCCATTGATCTTGAGAAACTGTTTTTTGCTCAGCCCGGAAACCCCGCCAAAGTACCCCGCATAAGGAAGCCTGCAAGAGAAAAGAACTGTCAAAGAATTGAGGCAGTTGTCAGCTTTGAGTTTCACGACAGATCCTGGCATTTCAAAACAACAAGCATGTCAAATATGAATACTCTACTGTATTGCATTTAAGACAACAGAAAATTACAACAAAACATGTATTCATGCTTTTCATGTGCATAGTGTAACAAATGAAGCAGAAGTAACAAAATACAAGTACATTAACAATGTATTGTTTCTACAGCTAGCTCAGATTGTTTTTTTAAAGAAGTTCGGAACTATCGCTTGATGTGAAGTGCGATTATTTATGCACATGACTTGAAGCTATCAATATATTGGGAAAGGGAGAAAGAGTTTGTGTCCCAAAGGGCGCTTTATTCCCTACATAGTGCACTACTACCTATGGGCCCTGGTCAAGTAGTGCACTCTATAAGGAATAGGGTGCCATTTGGGACATAATCATGTTGCTGGTGCTTTAGACGGGGGAGTGGGACGTGGCTCAATAAAGGCACTCGTGTTCAGAGACAGACTACATAAGGTCTCAGTAGCAGCAGCCTTTCACACAGAGCCTTTCTACAGAGCCCAACTGTATTGTTCCAGTACAGTGCTGAAGGTTAGCAGTGTCATGTCGGGTCCCTGAAGTCTGCCTCAGGCCAGTGGTGATTGGTGTGCGACAGGCAGCTTCATGTTTAAAGACGACAAGCACAACACTAATGAGGCCATCTGCTTAAGCAGCAGCCTTCACAGAAACAGTGTGGAGAGAGAATCCTTCTTTATGTGTGTGTGCATGTGTGTGCACGAGTGCTTCTCCAATTCTACAAGGTTGTGTAAGTTATTAGAGACATGTCGTAGCCTCTCTGGGTCAGGAGAAAGCCCCATCCAGTGTGAATTCCATTCACTTTACAAATGGGATTATCATCATCACAGTTTATTGATATTAGCAGTCAACACTAGTGCACTGGGAGACTTGCATAAACTGTCTAGCAAATAGGCTGCTTAGTCCACATACACTGGATACAAAGCCTGGCTAGACGTTGAGGAATTGTGTTCAATCAATCTGTTACAAATTACACAGCAATTTGCATTCTACAGTGAGGGAAAAAAGTATTTGATCCCCTGCTGATTTTGTATGTTTGCCCACTAACAAAGACATGATCAGTCTATCATTTTAATGGTAGGTTTATTTGAACAGTGAGAGACAGAATAACAACAAAAAAATCCAGAAAAACGCATGTCAAAAATGTTATAAATTGATTTGCGATAATGAGGGAAATAAGTATTTGACCCCTCTGCAAAACATGACTTAGTACTTGGTGGCAAAACCCTTTTTGGCAATCACAGAGGTCAGACGTTTCTTGTAGTTGGCCACCAGGTTTGCACACATCTCTGGAGGGATTTTGTTCCACTCCTCTTTGCAGATCTTCTCCAAGTCATTAGGGTTTCGAGGCTGACGTTTGGCAACTCGAACCTTCAGCTCCCTCCACAGATTTTCTATGGGATTAAGGTCTGGAGACTGACCTTAATGTGCTTCTTCTTGAGCCACTCCTTTGTTGCCTTGACCGTGTGTTTTGGGTCATTGTCATGCTGGAATACCCATCCACGACCCATTTTCAATGACCTGGCTGAGGGAAGGAAGTTCTCACCCAAGATTTGACGGTACATGGCCCCATTCATCGTCCCTTTGATGCGGTGAAGTTATCCTGTCCCCTTAGCAGAAAAACACCCCCAAAGCATAATGTTTCCACCTCCATGTTTGACGGTGGAGATGGTGTTCTTGGGGTCATAGGCAGCATTCCTCCTCCTCCAAACACGGCGAGTTGAGTTGATGCCAAAGAGCTCCATTTTGGTCTCATCTGACCACAACACTTTCACCCAGTTCTCCTCTGAATCATTCAGATGTTCACTGGCAAACTTCAGACGGCCCTGTATCTGTGCTTTCTTGAGCAGGGGGACCTGCAGGATTTCAGTCCTTACCAATTGTTTTCTTGGTGACTATGGTCCCAGCTGCCTTGAGATCATTGACAAGATCCTCCCGTGTAGTTCTGGGCTGATTCCTCACCGTTCTCATGATCATTGCAACTCCACGAGGTGAGACTTGCATGGAGCCCCAGGCCGAGGGAGATTGACAGTTCTTTTGTGTTTTTTCCATTTGCGAATAATCGCACCAACTGTTGTCACCTTCTCACCAAGCTGCTTGGCAATGGTCTTGTAGGCCATTCCAGCCTTGTGTAGGTCTACAATCTTGTCCCTGACATCCTTAGAGAGCTCTTTGGTCTTGGCCATGGTGGAGAGTTTGGAATGTGATTGATTGATTGCTTCTGTGAACACGTGTCTTTTATACAGGTAACAAACTGAGATTAGGAGCACTCCCTTTAAGAGTGTGCTCCTAATCTCAGCTCGTTACCTGTATAAAAGACACCTGGGAGCCAGAAATCTTTCTGATTGAGAGGGGGTCAAATACTTATTTCCCTCATTAAAATGCAAATCAATGTATAACATTTTTTACATGCGTTTTTCTGGATTTTTTTGTTGTTATTCTGTCTCTCACTTTTCAAATAAACCTACTATTAAAATTATAGACTGATCATTTCTTTGTCAGTGGGCAAACGTGCAAAATCAGCAGGGGATCAAATACTTTTTTCCCTCACTGTATATCCAGGCAGGTAAAACGGCATGGAGTGAATTGCCTGTTAGGCATGAGTGTCTTGAGGGCTTTTTGCAACTTTAATGCCACTTGAAGGCAAAAAATATGTGGATAGGGCTAGGCTGTTGCTGTGACCATATTACCGCCACACCTGCAGTCATGAGTCATGACCGCAGCAAAATTCCATGTGAATGTTGAGTCATGTTAATCTCCTTTTATGCACTTTGGACATGCTTTGGTAGTACCCAACATGCTAACTACCATCAGGTCCTAATGGCCTGGTCCTCAGGGCTCTATTGTCCCTCTAACCACTCTGACGTCAATGCAAATGCAATTACAAAATTACATCAAACACTTATCATCAAAACAGTAGGCCTCACTGTGACTGATGTACAGCTGGTGCACAAAATCTAATCTTAAGGAAGTCTCGAGATTTGGCTCGCCTGAGGTAGAGTATCTCATGATAAGCTGTAGACCACACATATTTACCAAGATAATTTTCTTCTATATATTTCGTAGCTGTCTATTTACCACCACAAACCGATGCTGGCACTAAGACTGCATTCAATGAGTTGTATAAGGCCATAAGCAAACAGGAAAACGCTCATCCAGAGGCAGCGCTCCTAGTGGCTGGGGACTTTAATGCAGGGATACTTAATTCCATTTACCTAATTACTTCCAGCATGTTAAAATGTGCAACCAGAGGGAAAAAAAACCTACACGCAGAGACGCGTACAAAGCTCTCCCTTGCCCTCCATTTGGCAAATCTGACCACAATTCTATCCTCCTGATTCCTGCTTATAAGCAAAAACTAAAGCAGGATACACCAGTGACTCTGTAAATAAGGAAGTGGTCAGATGACGCAGATGCTAAGCTACAGGACTGTTTTGCTAGCACAGACTGGAATTTGTTCCATGATTCTTCCGATGGCATTGAGGAGAACACCACATCAATAACTGGCTTCATCAATAACTGCATCGATGACGTCGTCCCCACAGTGACCATACGTACATACCCCAACCAGAAGCCATGGATTACAGGCAACATCTGCACTGAGCTAAAGGCTAGTGCTGCCGCTTTCAAGGAGCGGGACTCTAACCCGGACGCTTATAAGAAATCCCACTACGCCCTCTGACGAACTATCAAACAGGCAAAGAGTCAATACAGGACTAAGATTGAATCGTACTACACCGGCTCCGACGCTCGTCGAATGTGGCAGGGCTTGCAAACTATTACAGACAACAAAGGGAAGCACAGCCGCGAGCTGCCCAGTGACACGAACCTACCAGACGAGCTAAATCACTTCTATGCTCGCTTCGAGGCAAGCAACACTGAAGCATGCATGAGAGCATCAGCTGTTCCGGATGACTATGTGATCACCCTCTCCGTAGCCGATGTGAGTAAGACTTTTAAGCAGGTCAACATTCACAAGGCCGCAGGGCCAGACGGATTACCAGGATGTGTACTTCGAGCATGTGCTGACCAACTGGCAAGTGTCTTCACTGATATTTTCAACATGTTCCTGACTGAGTCTGTAATACCAACATGTTTCAAGCAGACCACCATAGTCCCTGTGCCCAAGAACACTAAGATAACCTGCCTAAATGACTACCGACCCGTAGCACTCACGTCTGTAGCCATGAAGTGCTTTGAAAGACTGGTCATGGCTCACATCAACACCATTATCCCAGAAACCCTAGACCCACTCCAATTTGCATACCGCCCCAACAGATCCACAGGTCATGCAATCTCTATTGCACTCCACACTGCCCTTTCCCAACTGGACAAGAGGAACACCTACGTGAGAATGCTATTCATTGACTACAGCTCAGCATTCAACACCATAGTGCCCTCAAAGCTCATTACTAAACTAAGGACCCTGGGACTAAACACCTCCCTCTGCAACTGGATCATGGACTTCCTGACGGGCCGCCTCCAGTTGGTAAGGGTGGGTAACAACACATCTGCCATACTGATCGTCAACACGGGGGCCCTTCAGGGATGTGTGCTCAGTCCCCTCCTGTACTCCATGTTCACCCATGACTGCATGGCCAGGCACGACTCCAACACCATCATTAAGTTTGCCGATGACACAACAGTGATAGGCCTGATCACCGACAACGATAAGACAGCCTATAGGGAGGAGGTGAGAGACCTGGCCGTGTGGTGCCAGGATAACAACCTCTCCCTCAATGTGATCAAGACAAAGGAGATGATTGTGGACTACAGGAAAAAAAGAGGACTGAGCACGCCCCCATTCTCATCGACGGGGCTGTTGTGGAACAGGTTGAGAGCTTCAAGTTCCTTGGTGTCCACATCACCAACAAACTATCATGGACCAAACACACCAAGACAGTCATGAAGAGGGCACGACAAAGCCTATTCCCCATCAGGAGACTGAAAAGATTTGGCATGGGTCCTCAGATCCTCAAAAAGTTCTACAGCTGAACCATCGAGAGCATCCTGACTGGTTGCATCACCACCTGGTATGGCAACTGCTCGGCCTCCGACCGCAAGGCACTACAGAGGGTAGTGCATATGGCCCAGTACATCACTGGGGCCAAGCTTCCTGCCATCCAGGACCTCTATACCAGGAAGGCCCTAAAAATTGTCAAAGACTCCAGCCAGCCTAGTCATAGACTGTTCTCTCTGCTACCGCACGGCAAGTGGTACCGGAACGCCAAAGTCTTAAACCTGCATTGTTGGTTAAGGGCTTGTAAGTAAGCATTTCACTGTAAGGTCTACCTGTTGTATTCGGCGCATGTGGCAAATATAATTTGATTTGATTTGATCGATCAATTTGAAGAAAGAAATTCAGCAACAGGTTGAAACTGAGTGGAAGACATGTTCATTGTGGATGTTGTTTCAAAGTCTAACACAATGAAAAGGACAGCGCTTTCTAACCCATATGCAAAACACACAAAAAAATAAAAATATTTAAAATAATGATTTTTCCGTTATACAATACAAAGCCTAACGTATATTACACACAGCAGAAAAACATTAAACAAACTGATTTAAGATGTCTTTGGTACATAATTGGTCCAGCCTATACTCCAAAATTAAACAAATTCTAGTAATCGCCTTTGAGTGTGGACTGTATTATTATGCATACTGGATGGACTGGATACCTTATGGTACAGTGCCTTGCAAAAGTATTCATCCCACTTGGTGTTTTTCTTATTTTGTTGCATTACAACCTGTAATATAAATGGATTTTTATTTGGATTTCATGTAATGGACATACACAAAATAGCCCAAATTGGTGAAGTGAAACGAAAAAAATTACTTGTTTAAAAAAATTATAAAAAATAAATAACGGAAAAATGGTGTGTGAATATGTATTCAACCCTTTGCTATGAAGCCCCTAAATAAGATATGTTGCAACCAATTACCTTCAGAAGTCACATAATTAGTTAAGTAAAGTCCACCTGTGTGCAATCTAAGTGTCACATGATCTGTCACATGATCTCAGTATATATACACCTGTTCTGAAAGGCCCCAGAGTCTGCAACACCACTAAGCAAGGGGCACCACCAAAGAAGCGGCACCATGAAGACCAAGGAGCTCTCCAAACAGGTCAGGGACAAAGTTGTGGAGAAGTACAGATCAGGGTTGGGTTATAAAGAAATATCTGAAACGTTGAACATCCCACGGAGCACCATTAAATCCATTATTAAAAAATGAAAGAATATGGCACCACAACAAACCTGCCAAGAGATGGCCGCCCACCAAAACTCACGGACCAGGAAAGGAGGGCATTAATCAGAGAGGCAACAAAGAGACCAAAGATAACCCTGAAGGAGCTGCAAACATTTTTATTTTGCATCTTCAAAGTGGTAGGCATGTTGCGTAAATCAAATGATACAAACCTGCAAAAAATCAATTTCAATTCCAGGTTGTAAGGCAACAAAATAGGAAAAATGCCAAGGGGGGTGAATACCTTCGCAAGCCATTGATTGTGCAGGGCGGCTTACAGTTTGCCTACAATTAGTGAATTTGAATAGCCTAGTAATAGGGATTTGTTTTATATTTTCATAATTAATTGGGTGGCACATTACCTTAAGCTATACAGCATTTCTCACCACCATGCGTTTCCATCTCCTCCTCTCTCTCCTTTATTCCTTTATTGAGCGCGCAGACGGGCTGTCAACATTTTAGTGAAATATGTTTCCTTGCGAAAACATGTTACTATCATGTTCCCGAACAGATTTCACTTGTTTCCCAAATTAAGCACTGGGTAGCTGCAGGAACAAGGTTGGAGAGCCCATGGCATAGAGAGTTTGGGCGGAATATCACCTGTCGGGGAGCGAAAGCATGCTTATATTTCTTTCTCAGCTGCTCATATTAAGCACATGCTCCGCTATAAAACCGAAGTAGCCTAGAAAACGGACCAGCGGGAAAGCGCATGGCCTCCATTCGCTATAGATGCATACAGATTACATGTATTTTTTCCCTTGCCCATTTAATAATGGGCCACTCTAAATCAAAACACATTTGACATATTAATAAAGCCAAGATACAATTGAGAATAGTCTGATGGGTGAAAATATGATCACTTGATGAGAGAACAGCGTGTGCAGCCTGAGGCAAGGAACGGAGCGCAAGCCTATAGTCACAACATGCAGCCCATACTGTATATGTGTCACGCTCGTCTAATGAGGGAGACCAAGGCGCAGCGTTGCGAGTGAACATATTCTATTTATTAAATGCTCACACGAACAAAACAATAAACAACGAATGCGTGACGTCTATGGTACAACACGAACACACACGAACAAAATCCCACAACCCAAAAGAAAAACAGACAGATTAAATATGGCTCCCAATCAGAGACAACCAGCCGACAGCTGACACTCGTTGCCTCTGATTGGGAGTCACACCGGCAAACATAGAAAATAGACAACCTAGAACACCCACCAAAGAAACAGAAAACATAGAATGAACACACCCTGGCTCAACATAATGAGTCCCCGAGCCAGGGTGTGACAGTACCCCCCCCTAAAGGCGCGGACTGCGACCGCGCCTAAATACGAGCAAAAACAGGGGAGGGCTGGGTGGGCATTCCTCCTCGGCGGCGGCTCCGGCTCCGGGCTTGATCCCCACTTCCTCTCCAACCCCCCAAAGTACCCCTGGTCCTGTCTAGCCCCGCTGGCCGGAGCCGGACTGACGACACGCGCCCCTGGCTTGGTGCGTGGAACAGGAACGGACCGGACCGGGCTGACGATACACACCCCTGGCTTGGTGCGTGGAGCAGGAATGGACCGGAATGGGCTGGCGACGCGCACCACAGACTTGGTGCGGAGAGCAGGAACGAGCCGGACAGGGCTGACGAAACGCACCACAGACTTGGTGCGGGGAGCAGGAACAGGCCGGGCCGGGCTGGCGACGCGCACCACAGGTTTGGTGCGGGGAGCAGGAACAGGCCGAGCCGGGCTGGCGACGCGCACCACAGACTTGGTGCGGAGAGCAGGAACGGGCCGGACCGGGCTGGCGACGCGCACCACAGGTTTGGTGCGGGGAGCAGGAACAGGCCGGGCCGGGCTGGCGACGCGCACCACAGACTTGGTGCGGAGAGCAGGAACGGGCCGGACCGGGCTGGCGACGCGCACCACAGGTTTGGTGCAGGGAGCAGGAACAGGCCGGGCCGGGCTGGCGACGCGCACCATAGGCTCGGTGCGGGAAGCAGGAACAGGCCGGGCCGGGCTGACGACACGCACCACAGGCTCGATGCGAGGAACAGGAACAGGCCGGACCGTACTGGGGACACACACCACTGGCCCTACGCAGGGATCAGGAACGGGCCGGACCGGACTGGTAACACACCCCAGTACCTCTCGCCGTGCCTCCACACTTTCCCTCTCCTCTGTGACCAGTGGCCCCCTTAACCTGGCGGCCTCCTCTTCACACCCGCTGGACCGCTCCCTCGCGGCCTCCTGCTGCCCCGTCGTCCACGTCGTGAGCCCCCCCCTAAAAATTTTCTGGGGGTCTCTCCTCCCCGTGGGCCAGGCCTCCATCGTTCTCGCCCACCTCTCGCTCCTCTGTCTCCAACCCTCGTCACTCAGCTCCTCAATGGGCTTGACCCAGTCGAAGCTCTTGATCCATTGCTCCATAGACCAGCCTCTCTTCTCTTCACTTAGCGGGGCCCAGCCGAAACTCCTACTCCACTGATCCCAGGTCCTTCCTCTCTCCTCCTCACGCTGCTTGGTCTGGTACTGGTGGGATTTTCTGTCACGCTCGTCTAATGAGGGAGACCAAGGCGCAGCGTTGCGAGTGAACATATTCTATTTATTAAATGCTGACACGAACAAAACAATAAACAACGAATGCGTGACGTCTATGGTACAACACGAACACACACGAACAAAATCCCACAACCCGAAAGAAAAACAGACAGATTAAATATGGCTCCCAATCAGAGACAACCAGCCGACAGCTGACACTCGTTGCCTCTGATTGGGAGTCACACCGGCAAACATAGAAAATAGACAACCTAGAACACCCACCAAAGAAACAGAAAACATAGAATGAACACACCCTGGCTCAACATAATGAGTCCCCGAGCCAGGGTGTGACAATATGTTTTCATTTCTAAGACATTCTAAGGTGTGTATCATGCACAACTAAAGCTGCCAAGTAACTCTGAATCTAGCATATAGGACCTGTTTCAAATTATCACTTTTACACCCAACATAGCCACTTTATATGCGCATTCGCTCCGTAATGGGAAAAATATCCTTTGTATTTTATTCAGCTAAGTTCAATTATATTCTTCTTACTATAAAATCATATAATATAAAATAATCACAGCGGATTGATAGCATATCTTGTCTGCTAAATGAACAAGCCTACAACCTATGGCATGGAGCATAGCCAGATAACATACAGTAGGCCAACTCATATTCTGTTCTTCTGAAATACATTTTCTTCATATCATAATGTTTCTTTAGACCTGCCTAAAATAAATAATGGATTTATTGTGATGGTGTATATTAAATAGATTTGTTAGAAAGTGTTAGGATTGGGTTGCCCTTTGGCCCCATACACAAAGACTGAAAATTTAACATCACAGTGCATTGGGCGAGTTGTCTGGAATCCAATGAAAGGCAAAATGGAAGTTCCTTTCAAACTCAGTCAAAAGAACTGGAGATGAGTCTCCGATAGTACTTTTGCTTTTACTTTAGTGAATCTCACCATTATATTCAGCAAAACAGGTTACATCATCCTGTAAAAATAATGTGTGCAGTCCCAAAACAATATCTTCAAACTTTTATATAAGAACTATCCCTTTAAAAGCATGCACATTTCCAAATCAATAAATTTAAAACGCCAGGAGATTGGAGAATATAGGCTTGAAAAACTAACAACAGATTTCATTCAGAGTAAAATATAAGTGCGAGTGACAGTCCATAATACAATTGACCTACCTGAAGCCAAACTTGTCCATAGCGATGGCGAAGTGTCGTGGCTGGTCGTAACAGTGGTAGAGGTTACGGTCGTCCATAGGGATGAGATCCACGTCGCTGAAGATAAAGCAGTCGTACTCTGCATCCTTCAGGGCCTCTGTGTAGCCCACATTCAGGAGCTTGGCTCTGTTGAAAGTGTCCTCACCAAGCTGCAAGATAACATAGAAAAAACACTGGTCAGAAACGGATGGACACACTGAGATCTACTGTAGGGGAATTAAGTTACATTTGCCATAGTTCAAGCAAAAATGTCATAGTTGATGGACTTAACATATCGGGTTCTGTAGGAGGTATTTGCAAGCCTAAATAGCAAGCTTGTGTTGATATAACTCTCAGATCATTACACAGTATATTGACAAAGAAACATGTTGTAGAGAACTCCACAGGAAGAATGGCTTACATCAGATGTCCGACAACTAAAATTAAACTATGCTATGTAAAAAATACTGCATCACAACTTGCTTCCCTTATTTTGATAACAGATCCAATCATAGTGTCTCAGGTAAAGTACCGTATCAGTTTTAAGATTTGAACTCATAATCTAGTTCAACACGTAATCCCTTGTAATCCTGTAATACCAGAGATTCAACCAAATAATCCTCAGGTAAAATCTTAAGGTTATTTGCGTAACCCCGGTTCTCTGATAATAGAGTAAGGTGTCTCACAATGGGAATTTGCTGGATAAGCAATTCACTACAGAAGGTCCAATCACACTGCGTCTGTCGTAGACAGACAAGTCCTGTGGCGAAAGAGGCGGGGACCCTGCTCAATATAAGAGAGAGGAAGAGGCTAAGTGAGAGGTTTTACTCCGCCAAAAACTGTCCATGAAAATAAGCCCACGATGTGAGGAATTTTTGTATGAAGGTCAATGAGTGTCGAATTTGATCAACAAAACATTTAATTGGTAATTTGCTACGTGAGGTTTATCTGATTTAATAGAAGTTTTGTAATGGTTAGGTTGTTACGAATACACTGATATAAGTGGACGCACGTGGCATTTAGGCAACTTTGAAAAAAAGAACCACTTTATATCAGAGTTGTGCCTGTTTTCTTTAAGATAGATAGAGGACTCATCATGGATATAACACGTTTTAGCATGGACATTGCCATTGAGGGCTTCCACAATTTTTAAGTAGTCAACTGGGTGGGGAGTAGGTGACTCCTATGAGTTGGGAGCAATCAGCCAATGAAGAAGAATACAATTGTCTACTTTAAAATGGAGATAGCCACAATGGCACAGTCCATGCGGTCACATACACTATAATGGCACATATACAGTGAGGGAAAAAAGTATTTGATCCCCTGCTGATTTTGTAAGTTTTCCCACTGACAAAGACATGATCAGTCTATCATTTTAATGGTAGGTTTATTTGAACAGTGAGAGACAGAATAACAACAAAAAAATCCAGAAAAACACGTCAAAAATGTTATAAACTGATTTTTATTTTAATGAGGGAAATAAGTATTTGACCCCTCTGCAAAACATAACTTAGTCCTTGGTGGCAAAACCCTTTTTGGCAATGACAGAGGTCAGACGTTTCTTGTAGTTGTCCACCAGGTTTGCACACATCTCAGGAGGGATTTTGTTCCACTCCTCTTTGCAGATCTTCCCCAAGTCATTAAGGTTTCGAGGCTGACATTTGGCAACTTAAACCTTCAGCTCCCTCCACAGATTTTCTATGGGATTAAGGTCTGGAGAAAGGCTAGGCCACTCCAGGACATTAATGGGCTTCTTCTTGAGCCACTCCTTTGTTGCCTTGGCCGTGTGTTTTGGGTCATTGTTATGCTGGAATACCCATCCACGACCCATTTTCAATGCCCTGGCTGAGGGAAGGAGGTTATCACCCAAGATTTGACGGTACATGGCCCCGTCCATCGTCCCTTTGATGCGGTGAAGTTGTCCTGTCCCCTTAGCAGAAAAACACTCCCAAAGCATAATGTTTCCACCTCCATGTTTGACGGTGGGGATGGTGTTCTTGGGGTCATAGGCAGCATTCCTCCTCCTCCAAACACGGCGAGTTGAGTTGATGCCAAAGAGCTCGATTTTGGTCTCATCTGACCACAACACTTTCAATCAGTTCTCCTCTGAATCATTCAGATGTTCATTGGGAAACTTCAGACGGCCCTGTATATGTGCTTTCTTGAGCAGGGGGATCTTGCGGGCGCTGCAGGATTTCAGTCCTTTACGGCGTAGTGTCTTACCAATTGTTTTCTTGGTGACTATGGTCCCAGCTGCCTTGAGATCATTGAAAAGATCCTCCTGTGTAGTTCTGGGCTGATTCCTCACCGTTCTCATGATCATTGCAACTCCACGAGGTCAGATCTTTCATGGAGCCCCAGGCCGAGGGAGACTGACAGTTCTTTTGTGTTTCTTCCATTTGTGAATAACTGTTGTCACCTTCTCACCAAGCTGCTTGGCAATGGTCTTGTAGCCCATTCCAGCCTTGTGTAGGTCTACAATCTTGTCCCTGACATCCTTGGAGAGCTCTTTGGTCTTGGCCAAGTTTGGAATTTGATTGATTGATTGCTTCTGTGGACAGGTGTCTTTTATACAGGTTACAAACTGAGATTAGGAGCACTCCCTTTAAGAGTGTGCTCCTAATCTCAGCTCGTTACCTGTATAAAAGACACCTGGGAGCCAGAAATCTTTCTGATTGAGAGGGGGTCAAATACTTATTTCCCTCATTAAAATGCAAATCAATTTATAACATTTTTGACATGCGTTTTTCTGGATTTTTTTGTTGTTATTCTGTCTCTCACTGTTCAAACAAACCTACCATTACAATTATAGACTGATCATTTCTTTGTCAGTGGGCAAACGTACAAAATCAGCAGGGGATCAAATACTTTTTTCCCTCACTGTACAAAGATGAGTCCTCTACTGTATCTATCTCTATGGCCTGTTGTTCACACGTGTATCTGCCCTCTCATTGGCTAGAATGGTCCCACCTGATCTCGCCTCCTCCCGTCTGCCTTCATCTTTGAGGACATGTACAGTGCATTCGGAAAGTATTCAGACCCCTTCCCCTTTTCCACATTTTGTTACGTTACAGCCTTATTCTAAAATTGATTAAATAATTGTTTTCCCTCATCAATCTACACACACTACCACATATTGACAATGTGAAAACAGGTTTTTAGAAATACCTTATATACATAAGTATTCAGACCCTTTGCTATGAGACTCAAAATTGAGCTCAGGTGCATCCTGTTTCCATTGATCATCCTTGAGATGTTTCTACAACTTGATTGGAGTCCACATGTGGTAAATTAAATTGATTGGACATGATTCGGAAAGGCATACACCTGTCTATAATAAGGTCCCACAGTTTACAGTGCATGTCAGAGCAAAAACCAAGCCATGAGGTCGAAGGAATTGTCCGTAGAGCTCCGAGACAGGATTGTGTCGAGGCACAGATCTGGGGAAGGGTACCAAAACATTTCTGCAGCATTGAAGGTCCCCAAGAACACTGTGACCTCCATCATTCTTAAATGGAAGAAGTTTGGAACCACCAAGACTCTTCCTAGAGCTGGCCGCCTGGCCAAACTGAGCAATCGGGGGAGAAGGGCCTTGGTCAGGAAGGTGACCAAGAACCCAATGGTCACTCTGACAGAGCTCCAGAGTTCCTAGTTGGAGATGGGAGAAACTTCCAGAAGGACAACCATCCCTGCAGCACTCCACCAATCCGGCCTTTATGGTAGAGTGGAGAAAAGTACAGAGAGATGCTAAATGAAAACCTGCTCCAGAGTGCTCAGGACCTCAGACTGGGGCAAAGGTTCACCTTCCAACAGGACAACGACCCTAAGCACACAGCCAAGACAGGAGTGGCTTCGGGACATGTCTCTGAATGTCCTTGAGTGGCCCAGCCAGAGCCCGGACTTGAACCAGATCGAAAATCTCTGGAGAGACCTGAAAATAACTGTGCAGTGACGCTCCCCATCCAACCTGACAGAGCTTGAGAGGATCTGCAGAGAAGAATGGGAGAAACTCCCCAAATACAGGTGTGCCAAGCTTGTAGTGTCATACCCAAGAAGACCTGAGGCTATAATTGCTGCCAAAGGCGCTTCAACAAAATACTGAGTAAAGGGTCTGAATACCTACAGTGGGGATAACAAGTATTTGATACAATGCCGATTTTACAGGTTTTCCTACTTACAAAGCATGTAGAGGTCTGTAATTTTTATCATAGGTACACTTCAAATGTGAGAGACAGAATCTATAACAAAAATCCAGAAAATCACATTGTATGATTTTTAAGTAATTCATTTGCATTATATTGCATGACATAAGTATTTGATCACCTACCAACCAGTAAGAATTCCGGCTCTCACAGACCTGTTAGTTTTTCTTTAAGAAGCCCTCCTGTTCTCCACTCATTACCTGTATTAACTGCACCTGTTTGAACTCGTTACCTGTATAAAAGACACCTGTCCACACACTCAATCAAACAGACTCCAACCTCTCCACAATGGCCAAGACCAGAGAGCTGTGTAAGGACATCAGGGATAAAATTGTAGACCTGCACAAGGCTGGGATGGGCTACAGGACAATAGGCAAGCAGCTTGGTGAGAAGGCAACAACTGTTGGCGCAATTATTAGAAAATGGAAGAAGTTCAAGATGACGGTCAATCACCCTCGGTCTGGGGCTCCATGCAAGATCTCACCTCGTGGGGCATCAATGATCATGAGGAAGGTGAGGGATCAGTCCAGAACTACACGGCAGGACCTGGTCAATGACCTGAAGAGAGCTGGGACCACAGTCTCAAAGAAAACCATTAGTAACACACTATGCCGTCATGGATTAAAAAATCCTGCAGCGCATGCAAGGTCCCCCTGCTCAAGCCAGCGCATGTCCAGGCCCATCTGAAGTTTGCCAATGACCATCTGGATGATCCAGAGGAGGAATGGGAGAAGGTCATGTGGTCTGATGAGACAAAAATAGAGCTTTTTGGTCTAAACTCCACTCGCCGTGTTTGGAGGAAGAAGAAAGATGAGTACAACCCCAAGAACACCATCCCAACCGTGAAGCATGGAGGTGGAAACATCATTCTTTGGGGATGCTTTTCTGCAAAGGGAACAGGACGACTGCACCGTATTGAGGGGAGGATGGATGGGGCCATGTATCGCGAGATCTTGGCCAACAACCTC